CTAGGAATATAAAATGTCATTATTCCTCAAAAAAGGAGACAGAATATTATATTTGCTAATTTTGTAACTGACATATAGCATTTCATTATTGTAATATATTTCAATCAAAGCTTGAATGAAATGAAAAGCCTGCTTAATTTACCAAACCTTTCCTACCAAGGCTGCTAGGAATGAATGATGAATAAAGTAGAACTGTATGAAGCTGAAATGATGTTGCAAAGGCAACAACTTAAAAAGTATCAAAGGAATTAGGAAGATCAAATGCAACTTGCCATATTGCAGGGTTCATAATTAAATGCCTAGAGCTAAACAGAATTATTACATTTCTCTTGGCTTAAGCATTTTTCCCACATTTTATATCAAAGAGAATTTACCTTTTTATTCCCTGAAATGTACTGCTAGCCATGTCTATGATGCCTCCAGTTGGCCTTGTCACTGCTCCAACTATACCTTTCCCAACACCTTTAAAGAAACCAGCTGCTCCTTCTTTCTGAGCTCCTGGAAAGAAAAGAGACAAAGTTTTAGACAATTGGATTAAGAATGAAAATCGAATTAATTTATGAAAGGCTTGGTAATATATATCACCCAAAGGAATTATTATACTTGCCTTTGATTGGTTTTGTAACAATTCCTGTTATGCCACTTACAAAACCCTAGAGGAAAAGCAAAATCGAAAATTTACAATACTTTCACATGATGCCTTGAAGAACCAAGTACAGCTTACAATAGAAATACAGAGCTTTGCTTTCTAGATACCATAAGAACGAACATATTTACTAAGTATTTAATTTAAACACAATATTTTTGGAGGCTACTTACATATTTTTGTATGTCACAACCCACTGATCCTCCAGCCCCCAAATCTCTGAGTAAATGAAAGTTTTGTCTATTTCCTTAATCATAGAATGTGGCTTTAAAAGGTATTCCCTAAAATGTTCACAACCCTGGGAAATTTCTTACAGACACTAAGCCTTTTCCTCCACGAGTGATGCCTTCTCTAAGACCAGCTGGTTGCTTGTTCATGGCTTCTCTTCTCTTCTGTTGGTAGTCTTCATCCATAGTCATAGCTGCTACCCCTTTAGCCATAGCACTGGTGATTTTGGAGGCAGCACCAGCTAATCCACCTGGCAGAAATTAAACTATCTTTAGTGAAATCAAACATATCATTACTTTCTAGCATAATCACACCTGGTAGGCATTCTGTTTCTTACCAACAGCTCCACCAACTAGTGCTTTCAGTCCTAGTGCCATTCCCTCCACAAACTCTTCAGGACCCTGGATGGCTCCCTGAAGAGTCAAAAAATAATAGCAAAGTTATATTTATATTTTCAAAGGTAAACTTATTGATATACATGGGGAAAGCAGTAGTGACAAAAAGAAAAGATCTCCCAGAGAAAGTGGTATCAACAGAAAACTTCACATTAACAGAATCCTAAGCTATTTCCTGACACTGAAAGTACGAAGAATAAAATGTTAGAAGCTGATCCAAACTTAGGAATATGGACTAGTCACCAAAGTGTACAAAAGATGCCTACTTGGATTACAAGCTATATGATGAGAAGTTAACCATAAACTACTCTTCATAATTTTTAAAAAAGAAAAATATTTTAATTCTTAATATTTGTTTTAGATTACATTGTACAAAATATTAGTTTTACTTTACTTTTCATTACTCTCTATGTTTAAAAGTGAAAGCAAGAACATTTTGAATGTTTTGACAGAATTTTTTTTAATTGAAGCATAGTCAATTTCTGGTGTACAGCATAATGTTTCAGTCATACATACACATACATATATTTGTTTTCATATTCTTTTTCATCATAGGTTACTACAAGATATTGAATACAGTTCTCTGTGCTATATGGAATAAATTCATTCTTTATCTATTTTATATATTGTAGTTAGTATTTGAATCTTAGCAATGTTCTCCTAGGGCAGTCTACACCCAGGCAATGGAAATAAAAGCAGAAATAAACAAATGGAACCTAACTAAAAGCTTTTGCACAGCAAAGGAAACCATAAGCAACACAAAATGACACAACCTATGGAATGGGAGAAAATATTTGCAAATGATGTGACTGACAAAGGTTTAATTTCCAGAATGTATAAACAGCTCATGCAATTTAATATCAACAACAAAAAAACCCCCAAATAACCCAATCCAAAAATGGGCAGAAGACCTTGACAGAAATTTTAAGGGACACAGAACAATCATTTTTGTCACTGATATTAAGATTGCTTTGCATATCAGCGTGCATGGTTATTTTTACTGTCCCACACTACTGTGTAAAGCAAGACTGTGTGTCCAAAGGTATCTTCCTCCTACTATAGTGTAAAGTTTATCCACCTTTAATATTCCATCAGAACACTTAAAATTCAGTATTTCTTAGAAAAGTCTTATGTTCTTTTGCTGTGTTTCCCAAAATCGATTTACATCTACAAACTCAATTTTATAATTGGGATGCATTATTTATTCAAAAGTATTGTGTGATATATTGCACAATACAAGATTAACTATTTTACCTGGTAAGGTTCATAAAAAAATGCCTCTACACCTTCAGAAAATTCTCTAATCAAGCCAAAGGGATTTCCCAAAACATCAAGTCCAAGAATGAGTACATACATCTGCTTAATGGCCTAAAAATGAAATGCAAACATTAGTCAGATCAGATAATCAGAGTTCATATTTTACCCCTTATACACAGTAGACACAAGTTTTTTTCAGGCCAACACCCTCACCACCCAATTTCAATCTAAACCATATCACCTTATTCATCACTAGTCTTAGTTTTTAAAAAGTAATTTGGTGTTACAGTATTAGAAATAATATAACCTATTTATATAAAGTTCTAAGAGTATTCAAAATGCTTTCACTTTCACAACAGTGTGTGACAGTTACTACTGCCACCACTTTACAGACTGGAGAAACACACAGGCCAAATGATGCCCAGAATGACATAATGGATAAATGGCAAAACTGGGATTCAAACTCAAAGTCATGTTCAGTGAGCTGTCCACCATACAACACCTATCTCATTGCTCTGTAAGTTATAGAATAAAATACAGGAGTCTTTTAGAGGTAGACAAAAATCCACCAAAATAATATATGTAGCTGACTCAACAACTTAAATATTGAGTCAAAAATTAATAATATTCTCTGTTCATCAGTTACTTACTAATAAACAGTTTCCCTTGACCTACTTTTTAAGTAAGTGTAGTGAATTACTTAGCTAATTATTATTTAAAGAGTTATGTCTAATCCACACTGATCCAGGAAAGACTTCTGTCAAAGGCTAAAAAATGGAACACAAAAAACTGAAATGGTGGTTGGACTCAACTGTTTTCTATAATACTGAGGAAAAAGACATGTTTTAAACTTTTGAAAACGGCCATTCACTTCCTTGCCAAATCTACATTATACATGTCTAGACACATATTATTTCCCTATTTTATATCGCTCAGTCCCTTCATAAAATCTGACAAACCTGCTTTGAATAGTGTCTTATTACTTCAGACTGTAGTTCAGATGTCGTATGGAACTGATAGTTGAGTTCAAAACATGCAAGCCTGAAAAAAAGCCATATAAAGGTATAAATATATATGGGTGGGTGTTTGTACAGGGTAGGGGTGGAGAGAAGGAGATAATGTTTTTGATATTAATGACTGATTTTATTTTCTTTAGAATTTTTCTCCAAGTCCTTCCTTTTGGTACATTTTTCCCTATGCCAGTCAGAAAATCGACTCATGTTCATCTCTGCATATTCTGTTCAAAGAACCCTCTAAGAATCTGATAAAAGCTATGGATCTTATCTTCAGAAAAGCCATCAATATACACACATTTTCACATAATTTAGGGGATTTAGAGATCCTTTGGATCCCACTCAAGGACATGAACTATATTCTCAATTCCATCTTATCATGGCCCACTGAGACAATGTGTGACACACTGAGATCAAAGAAAGAGGCTGCTCAAGAATGGACAGGGTTCAGTTGCTGCAGGTCGTGCCTGATCAGCTGACGAATCATCATCAGTTTACTTATCACCTATTCACAGCGTATACCCGGTCAACTGTTTGGGAAGTTCTATGCTAAGGATAGGACAGCAGCAAGATTAGAAATCTCATCCTATTTCTGATGTCTTCAAACCTATGTTTTAAAATTTGACTGTTAACCTAACTTTATCTGGATTTACCTCTTATTGGATTCATTCATTCTTACTACTGTTCTTCATAACAGTTCTAGGTGCTATCTGCAAAGGTCATTCTCATCTAAAAGTCTTCACTCAGATCTCTAAGTGTCTTTGGTCAGACACTCTAACAGCTTCCACTATGACTCACGTTAGAGTTCTTGACTGTAACAATTCAGCTGATCCTTTCACTTTCCCTGTCATGGCATTCATTTAGTTCTAGTCACATATGCTTTGAAGAGTCTTGATCCCATAGGCCTTAAAACAACATCTACTAAGTGCCACACACCACACCTTTGGGTGTATACAGCTTCTCAGGAATCTTTCCCAAGGCCCAAAACGCCTTCCTTTCTGTCCTTCTTTAAGAGTTTTTTTTTAAGTAATTATTTAATAATTATTGAAATATTTAAATAATTTAAGAATTACTCTGTTATCTAACAGCTGAGGGTTAGAAGACAATGTTATAAATTATATTCCACTTAACAGTAAAAACCGTATTTAGCCTATGATCTGCAATGTACTTTACATACTTTTTCACTGATAAAATTTTAATGTAAATATAAAGTGGACTTCTCATCAATTTATAGATTTGAATATTAAACATACTTAAAAACTACATCTTGTACATCTGTAAGAGTGGCACCAATACTCTTCAGCAAAAGATTTATAGAATGAACTGCCATCTGTCCTCCATGTTGTTCTGAATCTTTAGCTTCTTCTCCACCCGAACTCAGTGAAACACTTAAATGCAACTAAAGAGATAGAGAGATCAATATGTAAAGCACTTTCTTCATAATGACAATTTTAACTCTTAAAATTCAACCTCATCTTAAATTCACTACACTTAATAAGATTTCAAAGTTATCTGGGTTAAACCAAAATTAGTAAGTGGAAAGTTAAGGAAATTTAAAACCTAAACAGCCCGTTAAATTTTTTAAATTCAACAATGTAATATATGATATTTAGATCAATCCATTCTTTTGGTAAACCTAGGAAAATATTAATCTTTATACATTTTAATAACATTAACAATCTAGAAGTAGAAGTTGTTGGAAATAACTCAGATATCTCAAAAAATGAATGTTTCAACTATTAGAATTAAGTTAGTGTGGTAAAGCCCATTAAAAAGCACTTTTGTGCGCCTGTGTGTGTGTGTATATATAAATACATAAGTTTACAACAATTTTCTTCAAGTATTATGTAAGTAACTTAGAAATTTTATGTTAAGAACTTTTAGTTCCATTCAATCCTTAATTTTTAAATCAGGGGTACTTTATAAATTAATTTAAAACTTACATGTATATCATACACAAAAGTTTGAAAACTGTCACTAAATACCTTCACAGAAAACAAGGTAACATAATGTTAGGTCAAGATATAAACATAAACACATTGTATATGGTTCCATTGTTATTTCCATGTGGTAAAAAATTATTATAAGAGTAAATAACAAATAATTATTTAAAAGGATAATTTCTTTATTTACTTATATTTGTAATAGTGAAATTACAGAATTTATATACTATTAAAGAATGTAATTTAAATGCCATACCCCCCAAACACATCAAGTCAATTTGCTATTACCTAGATTATCAAGGATAATAAAAATGACTTATTTTTCCCCTACCTTGATAGAAGATATGTGAAAATACTCATATAGACTGACTTGTGATGAATCTACTAATGAAACTATTTTATATTCTTCTTGGAAAGCTTCTATATCTTTATGAAAAAGCTCAACCTATAAAAGAACATAAAATATTAAAAGCATAGGGGATTTGTCTGCTTAAGTATTTAAGCCAATAGTTCACATGCTGCAGAATATTCCCCCATAATATCCAGATTCAACATTGCTCATGATTGGGAAGCTACTGCCTCAGAAGGGAAACTGACATCTTTACTGTTAGGAAAGTTGTATCTGTCACATACAAACTGAATTCTTTCTATGAGGGTAGCTGAAAAAGAGAACCTATCTACCCCATAATTGTGATGTTACAGTCTTTCCATCAGTCACACAGAATATATCACATTTTATTTGTCTTAGCCCTTTTCTCATCAAATATCCTGGTCATATCCAAATTTCTAAATTATTAATCAAAACAAAAGTAACCCAGGAAAATAAAATAGGAGAAAACAGTGATGTGAACATGACTAATTATCCTCTTCCACCTACTACTGGCCTAAAACCTTTCCTCTTATTTGCTTAAAAAGGTTATTTGTCTTGCTTCCAACTTCTATAATCTGAAAATGTGACTTCTTCCAATGTACAACCACAGCAGCATTATAAAATTTTTTAAATTGTTTTAAAATGGAAACAAAACCATTTTAATACCTTTAAGAATGTATAATGTTATCACTTTTTTTAGTCCTCTTTTTTCCCTAATCTTTCCTATCAATACTATTATTATAAGTCTTACCTCTGTTTTTTCAGTCACTTCAGCCTCTGTCATAAGTTCTGCTACAGCATAGACAAAGCCAAGATCTAATCTGAGATCCATTTCTTGGATCAACACTTTGAAATACCTATATTACAATGTGAAAAACATTTAAAAATCATCGATTAACTGCATTAACAAAATTATATAGGAAAAAAGTATTAGATAAAAATTAGAACATTGAAACAACCTCTAGATGAATAAATAAAATAATGTGATGGCAACACTGCTCATAATATCAACAAACTCAAAATAAAAAAATGCCTACGAAGAGGAAATCAATAAGTAAATTGTGGTATATAGTCACACAACAGAAATTATACACTAGTGATAAGTAAACTCTAGCTACAACAAAATGAATAAATTTTAACAAAAATTTGAATGAAAAAAGTCCCAGGAATATATTTACAGTTTGAAAAAAATTTTAATTGGAAAAAATTTTGAAAAAGAAAGAAGCATAATGTTTAGGTACAGATAAACAATACAATAATACTTTTAAAAGAATAACGATGGTATTTATCTTGGTGATAGGGTGGAGGAAAGAAGAAACAGAAGAGTGATACAAAGACTGATGTTTCTGTCAATGTTCTATTTCTCGAACTGAGTGGTGACTGAATTTGAAAATATTTTCTTTCTTGTTTCTAAAACAATATGCAGTAATTATAGACAACTTAAGAGAAAAAACAAAAAAGAAAATAATAAAATACACACAATTTTAGAAATGACTGTTAGATGCATTTCATTGAAGCCTGATACTCCAAGATTATAAAATAACTGATTTTTCCTATGACCTTTATAATTTAATATTTCATACTTAGATCTTTGACTCATCTAAAATTTATTTATTTCAGAGTACAATTAACTCACATGTTTAAATCAAAACATTAAATGAACACACAAGAAATGTATTAAGACACTTACTTAATACGTGATATCTGGGAATGCCCTGCAGATCTCATGACAATACTGACATCTGTAAAGGGCTTTGGTGCTGTGAAGGTTAAGAAATATGATTAATCTCATGATGATATACACAAAAGATAAGCATTTTCTTGCAGTTTAGTACACATCCCAATGGACAACTAAATTATTTACTAAATCATGAGTATCAATAATTAAAATTACTGATATTGGTTAAGATCTATCACAATCTTAATTTTAGATTTTAAAATTTAAATGTTCTGTATTCACTCTAAGGATAACTGATTCTTTAAATTACTGATTTTAAACTGGAAGTATTCATTAGAATCATCAGGAAAACTCTGTGAAAACACAGATTTCAGGGTCTTGTCCTAGACTTCTAGGTAGCGGGAACTGGGCATATACACTGGTCAAAATGCTTCCAAGCAGATTTTGAATAACCAGTTTAGACAGTTTAGAGCTGGTGGTATGCAGGTGGGAGTAGAAAGCAAGAAGAGAGGTAAGTAAGGTAGTGGGAAGGGAAGGGAAAGTGAGGAGAAGAGGGACAGCAAAGAAGGAAGAACAGTGAAGGAGAAGAGGCTGGAAGAAAGGATTTGTCAGTTATTCTCATCTGTGCAATACAGGATAGTTTCTGTGGTTAGAAAACACTCTGAATTTGAACTTTCTCATGATTTATTCAGAGGTCCTAGTGGATTATAAATTAAGGGTTCACAAATTTGTAATCTTTTAAAAATTAGTATCTCTAAACATTTTAATAAATATTTCTCATTAATCTTTCTTCAGTATTCAGAGTCTCACTGAAGTTAGTTGAGTACTTCCTGGTCTTCGTTCAAGCTATTTCATTTTCCAGTGATCCTACAGAAACTAAACTTGAGAATGGTTTCACTTCATATTTTTATAGTAAAATAAACCAAATACCTAATACAACTGTTTTTATGGTAATTTAAAAATACAAACAAACCTGAATCCATGGTGACCGACTTGGGAGGCTTAATGGGATAAAACACAAATGGAAAAACAGCACCAGGTATCTGGTTTTGGATCTAAGAAAACAAACAAAAGGTCAGTATGTTAGTATGTTAATTACAGAAACTGACTGGAGTAACAGGATTTAAGAAGTAGAAGGAATCAAAAGTTCCAACACTAAAAACTGGATAGCAGCATGTAAAGCAATGAAGCTAGAACACACCCTTACACCACACACAAAAATAAGTTCTAAATGGATCAAAGACTTAAACATAAGACAAGATACAATAAACCCCCTAGAAGAAAATATAGGCAAAACATTATCTCACATACATCTCAGCAATGTTCTCTTAGGGCAGTCTACTCAAGCAACAGAAATAAAAGCAAGAATAAACAAATGGGACCTAATGAAACTTACAAGCTTTTGCACAGCAAAGGAAACCATAAGCAAAACAAAACGACAACCTATGGAATGGGAGAAAATTTTTGCAAAAGATGAAACTGACAAAGGCTTGAGCTCCAGAATATATAAGCAGCTCATACGACTTAAGAAAAAAAACAACCCAATCCAAAAATGGGCAGAAGACCTAAACAAGCAATTCTCCAATGAAGACATACGAATGATCACTGAGCACATGAAAAAAATGCTCAGTATCACTAATTATCAGAGAAATGCAAATCAAAACTACAATGAGGTATCACCTCACACCAGTCAGAATGGTCATCATTCAAAAATCCACAAATGACAAACGCTGGAAAGGCTGTGGAGAACAGGGAACCCTCCTACACTGCTGGTGGGAATGCAGTTTGGTGCAGCCACTGTGGAAAACAGTATGGAAATTCCTCAAAAGACGAGGAACAGACTTACCATATGACCCAGTAATCCCACTCCTGGGCATATATCTAGAAGGAACCCTACTTCAAAAAGACACCTGCACCCCAATGTTCATAGGAGCACTACTTACAATAGCCAAGACAGCCTAAATGTCCATCAACAAAAGACTGGATAAAGATGTGGTATATTTATACAATGGAATGCTACAATATAACACCATTTACAGCAAGATGGATGGCCCTAGAGAATGTCATTCTAACTGAAGTAAGCCAGAAAGAGAAAGAAAAATACCATGTGAGATCGCTCATATGTGGAATCTCAAAAAAAAAAAAAAGCAAAGCAAAGAAAAAGGCAAATGAACATAAATACAAAACAGAAACAGACTCATAGACATAGAATACAAACTTGTTGTTGCCAGAGGGGAGGGGGGTGGTAAGGGACAGACTGGGATTTTGAAATTTGTAGATACTAACAGGTATATGAAGAACAGATAAACAAGATTATACTGTACAGCACAGGGAAATATATACAAGATCTTGTGGTAGCTCACAGTGAAAAAGAATGTGACAATGAATATATATGTTTACGTATAACTGAAAAATTGTGCTCTACACTGGAAATTGACACAACATTGTAAACTGACTATCACTCAATAAAAAACAAATAAACAAACAACAACAACAAAAACAAAAATTCCAACACTGAAACCGAAGCACTAGACAAAACAGACCAAGGGAATATATCTGGTTTGTTGCCATGTTCCTTTAGAATAAAATCTATTTTTTCAGACTCACCTGTATTCTGTAAATTTGAATTCTAAATGATGATTGATGTGCAGATGTGCTATATTCCACCTTTAAAGCAGGAAGATAATTTCTTCGTATAGCTGTTACATGTGGTTGCATAATTTTCATGTTAGTACCACTAGGTGTGAAGCAGACCTGAAAAATATGACAAGCCCCCAAAACCTAAAACATGGAATTTCTCTTCATTAACAGATTAAAATTAGAAATCTGTACCAAAAAACTTTAAAGATAATATTAATTTAAATAGTAGGCTAAATATTTGATTAGGTTTTGACTGATCTTTATATCCCCATATCCATACAATTTATGAAAATATTCACATAATACTTATAACTTAGTTTTATCATTTTTAATATAAATTTAGTAAAATTTATCAAATATAAAGTAATAAAAAAATAACTTTAAAAGTAAGACAAAACAACTTATTGGCTTCTTGTTAATCAACAATGAATAGATCACTAGCACCTTAAGAAAGTGTGAATTCTTAATATAGGTAACTATCCCTTTAAAATATTCTATGTAAAGTGTGTGTAATAGTTTTTTAATGAACTAGACTTTCGATTAAAAACTAACTCATGATTCATCTAATTACAACAGATAAAAGTTAAAGCTTCACCTCAATACTTAAAAACATTACCTGAACGTTAGTGTCCAACTCAATAACCTTATCTTCTGATGGGGAAGATTCAGTATATTCCTTAAATTCTTTCTCTAACTTCTCAGTCTGCTTTACACTCATTGGCTTCCATCTTGCCTTCTTCTTGGGCTTTGTCTCCCAGACCACATCAGAACTTATATATGAAAGTAAAAATCATAGTGCTAATTTATAAACATTTTCATTTTAAATGCCTTATTACATGAATTACAAAACTGTCAGTAAATTTTTACAAATCCTTAGTTATAAGCAAGCACATTACAAGTTTAAAAACATGAATTAATTCAAGCAACACTTACTAAACTCCTATTCAGGAACTATTCTAGGTGGTAGGGATATTACCTACCCCTTCCGCTCGTCATTGTGGAGCTTTCTTTTAGCTGAAGAGTGATAGACAGTAAGTAATAAATATAATAAATTAGCATATTTTAATGTATTAGGAGGTGAAAATGCTTTTCAAAGAAGAAAAAAGAGACAGGGGAAGGTGGATCTGGAGTATTGGAACATGCAAAATTGTGGGTGTCATGGTCAATGGGGGTGTCATTAAGAAGGCAGGATTTCAGTAACCTAAAAGAAGATGAGGGAGTATCCAGCAGACAACAGAGGAACATTCCAGGTAGAGACAAGCTAGAGCAACGACTTCAAAGCAGAGCTTGTCTGTAGTAGAGGCAGAAGAGCAAGGAGGCTGGTGTGCCTGGAACACACTGTGAGCAGAAGATGAAGACAGACAGACAGTGAGAGGCAAAGTAACGCAAAGCCTTGTAGGGTACTGCAAAGACTTTGAGTTTTATTCTGAGATGAGGACCCACTGAAAAATCATGAGAAGATTATCAGCAATATAATCTGACTTAAGGTTTGTTAAGAATATACTGAGTGTTGGGATGGGGAGAAAAGAAAAAGGGATGAAGGCTGGAGCAGGAAAACTTGTTAGGAATTTAATGCAGTAAGCCAGGAGAAAATTGGTGATGGCTCTGCCTAGGGGTAATAGTGAGGTGGTAAAAAGTGGTTAAATTCTATGTGCGTTTTGAAGATAGAGCCAGCACAGCATTTCTAGATAGAAGAGATTTGGGGTATAAGATAAGGAGAGAAGTTAAAGATGATTCCAAAGTTTCTGGCCGGGGCAAACAGAAGAATGTAGTTGTCATTAACTCCAATGGGAAAGCAGGTTTTGGTAGAAAGAGATCAGGAGTTTGGTTGTACACATTATAAAGCTTAAGGAGTCTCTTAGATACTTCAGTAAAGGTTTTATGTTAAGTATCTGGGCAGGTAAGTCTGGAGTTCAGGAAAAAGGTCTGGCTGAAGATATATTTCTAGAAATTTCTGGCATATATGTGGTACCTGAAATCATAAAACTGAAACAGAGAAGAGAAGAGGACTAGGGTCTGAGAGCCTCAAGGTACCCAATGAAAAAGAGAAAAGGAACCAGTAAGTGAGAGTGAGAATGTTGAGCAGAAAAGTATCCTGGAAGAGAAATTAAAGAAACTGTATCAAGGAGGGATTTGTGCTAAATGTTATATACGAAAGCAACATGAGGACTGGTTATTGCACACTGGATCTGGCAATACACAGGACTCTGGTGAGCTCAAGATCAGTTTCATGGTATGCTGAAAGCAAAAGCCTGTTTGGAATGGTTAAAGAAAAAATGGGTAAAAAAAGAATTAGGGCTAATGAATATATCTTTTGCAACAACAGATTAACACTTTTGAGTTTGGCTCCAGAGGAAAGCAAATAAATGTGCAGTAGGCAGCAGGAAAAGTAAATGCAAGAGTTTTTTTTTTTTTTTTTTAAGTTTAAAAGAGATAGTGCTGATGGAAACAATCTAATAGAGAGATGTTGAGGTAGGAAAGAGAGAAGAGAATTACTGGATCCATGTCTCAAGAGGCAAGAGGGGAATGGAATATACTGCAAAAGCAGAAAAAAAAAGTTTTAAGTAGAAGCACATATGATAGATCTATGACGACTGGGGAAGTGTGTTGCTGCAAAATGTAGGTAAAAAATGCTGGTGCATAGAAGCTGAGATATTGGGGTCTTAGGGCTTCCCTTTTGATTGCTTCAATTTACTTGGTGAAATGAGATGCAAGGTAGTGAGCTGAGAGAGGGAGTAGTGGTTGAAAAGAGACAAAGTGAGAGCGAATGCAATAAATCAAATTTGCTAAAAAAAAAAGGCTGAAAGACTTAATACAGAATTTAATAATCTATCTACATCCTAAAATTACTTCACTCTGTTAAGTATGTAAGTTAATTTTATTTATTCTATTTGTTTATTCCTTCTAAAATTTATGTTCATTTAATAAATAGGTGGAAACCACGTATTTGCATTCACATCATTTAGCATGGGTGTTAGCATATATCAGGTTTCACAGGCTTAAAATCTGTTGTCTATTTGACGTTTTCCTTTTAACTAATAAACATACTTTTTTGAGAACAATAACAATCCCTAAGAAAACAGTTTTAATAGGTCATTTTAAACGGCATGGATACCATTCAATGAGAAGTCAGGGTCATTTCTAGATGAATTTACATAGAAAAACAAATTCAAATTTATATCATATACCTTTGATTTATATATTTATTTGAGAGTTTAACTCAAGTAAAGGATTAAAACTACATTATCCTTGTTACGTAGACTGGAATCTAGAAATGCCCTCACATTAGGCAATTATATACAGAAATTAATTTTAAGTGTTTATGAATAGGGATACTAAATAAATAAGGAAAAGAAGAGTTTTACTGATGATGACTTATGTGGGAAATCATAAATACAGTAGTACCTTATTAGATCTTAAAGTGCCAAGGTCAAAGCAGAAAATGATTAGAAAGTGAAATGTACAATGTGGGGAATATAATCAGTAACAATGTAATATCTTTTTATGGTGACAGATGGTAACTAGACTTATCATCATTGTAATAAGCAGAAATACTGAATCACTAAGTCATGTAGCAGGATCTAACATAGTGTCGTAGATCAAATGTACTTCAGACATAGAAAAGATCAGGAGGAGGGGGAGCTGGATGAAGGTGGTCTTAAAAACCAAAAATAGAATGAGAGCAAAAGAGAGACTGAGAAAGGTAAGAGAGAAAGAAGACGGAAAAGTGATTTTCTTTATTCCACTAACAACTATTTATGGAACAACTATAGTGTATCCTGCACTGTTTGTAGGTGGTAATGAACAATTAAACATTTCTATACGACATGTTAAAGAAAGTATACTTGGATAAGTTGAATAAAGCTAACTTTTTAGAGAGCTGAGAGAATCAACAATGTAATGACAGATTTATAAATTTGATTTTGGGTATAGCTTTATTTCAAAAGGCAAAAAAAAAAAGCGTCCAAGCATTTTTAAATTAGCATTACCTTAGATGGGTACCAATGAATAGTCAAAACACAAAATTGAAACTAAATCATTTTAGATTTTACAATCACCATTCTTAATGATTAAGAATTTACTTAAATATACTCAAATTTTAATGCCTCTAACCTTGTAATGCCAATATAGGCAACTTCTTGCTTTGTATAATTATTGACGAGAGAAATTCCAACATCTTGTAACGCCAACACAATTTCTTGCTCTGCTAACTCTGCTTTCTCACTTTCATATGTCACTCTAAATACTTTCGGATCTTCAGTGAATAAAATAATGCGTTGTAAGCCTTCAAAGAATGAAACTAAATAAATGGTCTTTTTCCCCAAACTTATAGGTGTCATCATATCCTGAAACAAAACCATCAAAAAATAAAAAATCAGGGTTTGGTCCCAACAAACATGAAATCTAGATTTCACATTTGAAAAATGAGAATAGTAAAGGCACCTTCTTCACAGGGTTGAATAAAATAAATTAATAATTGTGTAACATTTGGAAATTTACATAATTAAAATCATTTGATGTTAGCTTCTGCCATTATCATAAAGATAGGAAGATAGGTCAATTGTTCTTCTATTTTAATATTATAGTAAAATCTAATTAGGTCCCTTTGTTGGCTAATCAATAAAAAATTTTATCTTCTCTGCTCCATTCTAAGACTAATCAATTTATGTTATGTGTTATAAGTTATTCAGTTAGAAATTCCTATTTTCTTATAGAGCTGAATAAAGAGATAAATAGATAAAGAACATCTGACACCTCAGCTGCATGCTGTACAAAGCACAAATATTTGCAGGTTTAATTCTGCAGGAAGCCTTTATATATAAGCACTGCACTGATATTAGGCTCTGCAGTTTCAATGACAAGTCAGCCATAAATTTCTAGCTAAGTGCATATTCTGATTAAGAGGAAATTTTAATATATAGTACATATTCATGTTACAATCCACTGAAATTAAAAATGAATTGTTACCATATAATCATGGTACTTATAACACTTTCTAAAATAAAATACATAGCACTAAAACTATATTAAGACATAAACTAATTCATTGCCAAGTAATTCTGAGGTCTTTCCAATGCTTTGTAGATTTCAGATTTATCTTTATAAACCTGAACTATCATTATGCTATAAATATCCAAAAGTACTAATCAACAAGTCAGATAATATTATTTTTATACTAAACTAAGGTCTTTTTTCCTGGAAAAATCTAATAATCATTCAAAAAAATAAAGTTAGGCCAATTATGGACAGCCCTCTCAAATACATTTAAAGAATACTGGACTCCCTAAGAGCAACATGGGAAGACAATGGAAAAATACCATCAATATGCTAAGAGAAAAACAACTCTGAGCCCAGAATTTCTTACTCGGCAAAAATACACTTCAGTGAAGAACACTATAATAAGGATGCCTAAAGACAAACAACAACTACTAAATTTCACCATCAACAGAGACTCAAGGAAATCGTACAGGAGGAATTAAACACTGGCAAAAGGAAAGTGATCCAAGATGAATGTCTCAAGTAAGAAAGGAATGTTTTGCAGATAAAATGGTACCTGTGTGGGAGAAAACACTTTACAAAATTCAATATTCAGTCATAATAAAAACTTCTGGCAAATAAAGACTAGATGAGAAGTTTTTTAACCTCTTATCAAACGCCCTAAAAAAGACACACACCAAACTTTGGCAAAAATCACATTTAAAGGTAAATGTTGAAGTTATATATAACTTGAGACCAGAAACAAAGGAAAGATATCTGCAAATATCACTTTTATTAAACAGTATATAGAGATGTTAGCCAGTCCAATAAGGCAAAAAAGGAATTTAAGACGAAAGGGCTGAAAAAGAGAAAACAAAGCTCTCATTATTTCTAAGTGTCATGATTGCCCATACAGAAAAAAAAAATCAATATTAATGAGATAATTCAGTGAGTTTTTCTAGATGAAAAAATCAATACACAAAACACATTACACTCCCATATGCTGACAAGTGTACTTTTAAAAGGATACAATGAATTTTGCTCTGGCAATTGATGACTAGATGCTCTTGGACCAACACTCTTGTTAAGAACCAAAAGCTGGACAAAATATAAAAAGATAAGTATGTATTTGAAAAGACAGAAATGCTACCAATGTAGTGAGAACTAATGGGCCCAAGATCCGAGAGAGAAGAAAAGCCAATAAAAGTAAACTCTGCATTTGGAGTTCACAAGTGCCAGTTCTAAAAGTAGAAGCAAACACTGAGAGATTAAGAAAATCAGGAAAATTAGGAGTCTCATGGGAATGGAAGGACCAAAATTGGAGTAAAGGCAAACCAAAAAGAACAGGTCAACAACTTAGGCTTTCAGTTGAGTCCCAAAAGGGCGATTCTTTAGGTGCCAAGGTAAACTGGAAGTAGACTGGTCCTCAAGGATTGAAGACCAGAGTCAAATAATTTCAATTCCCATTTAAATTAAGATACTCTCCCCCTAGACTGGCTGTCTGACAAAGGCAAAATCACATGTTCTCAAGAGAAAGGGAACATCATACACAGTCTCAAATCCTCTTAAAAATTCTTTGATATACTAAGTCCAGCACACAGTCAAAAATAAACATGAATAAAGAATGGATATGAGTGAAAACTAAGAAAAACAGAGAAAATATAAAAATATCCACAAGAAATCTAGATATTGGAATTGTCAGATAGGCTTTAAAGCATCGATGATGAAAATATTCAATAAGTTATGTAACAAGGCAGAGAATTTTGAAATAAAAATTGAACTGATAATTTCAAGAATTAAAATTAAGTACTCAATGGATGATTTTAAGAGCAGATTGGACATAGCAAGACAAGTATAGTGAAAAACAGATCAGAAGAAAATATCCATACTGAAGGATGGAGAGATAAGGATGAAAACCATAAAAGTCGTAAGAGACATGGTGAAAGTCTAACATGTATGTAATGATGGGGTTCTAAGATGAAGAGAAAGAAAGAAGTACCAATCCTGAGATTTGGTATCCAGCAGAAACACCCAACAAAAAAAGGGGCAAAATAAAGGCATTTCCAGGCAAATGAAAATGACAGAAAACTCACCAGCTGCAGACCACACACACATACACAAACACACACAAGAGTACAGAGAAGAAAAAAAGGAACCCATATGGGAATAGGGAGATACAAGCAGCAATGAAAAGTGGCAAAAAGGAAAAATGTGTAGGTTAATTTAAATGGAATATTAATTGTAAAAAAATAGTAATCATACTTCTTATGAGAATTAATATATATTTAGAAGTAAAACACACAATAAGATTACATAAGATGGAAGAGGGTAAATGGAGTTAAAGAGTTCTAAAGTCCTTACATTACTTGGTACTGGTACAAGTACCAATTTACAGAAGGCTTTAAAAAGTCAAGAATATATGTTGTAATATGGTATGAGGCTATAGCTTTAGGTTTCACTTTGTATGATGATCTTTGTATGTCCCTGACAGAAAGGTATGCTGTGTTAGCTATGCTCATGGGTCCTCGTAAGAGATGTCTGCTACTGTGGAGTACAGCTATTCTAGGTCAAGGCAGCTCATAACATAACCAGTGAGCCTTGTTCCATCACAGCAAAGCCATCATTTGAAGTGACCAAAGAGAATACCTCCTAAACTGCTATGTGAAATGGCCAATGCTCCCTGCAGGCATGATATGTTTCTTGTCCTGTATCTTTCCAAGCAGGCAGTTGCAAACTGTGGCCGACAGCAGTTTGTAAGCCTGAATGTTTGAGCCTAAAAAGATGGTGTGCACTGAAACATTATATACTAATAAAAGGATTAACTTAACAAAAAGACACACCAATTCTAAATTCGTACCTACCTAGTCATGTAGTTTCAAAATATAAGAGCCAAAATTAACAAAACTAAAAGAGGAATGTATAAATCCATGATTTTTAAACACCACTCTCATTGAAACAGAAACAAATAAAAAATTTAATGAGACAGAAGATTTAAACAACACAACAAAACTTCAATAAATTGACATATATAGACACTGTAACCGACAACTACAGAATATAGATTTTATTCAAATATTCATTAAATATTTACAAAAACTAGCAACATGCTGGCCCACAAAGTCAGTATCAGTAAATTTCAATGAACTGAATCAGGTAGGTTCTCTGATCACAGTGGAATTAAGTTAGAAATAAACAAACATAACTAGAAAATTCCCATACTTTTGAAAAGTGATAAACTAAGTAACTGTATAGTCAAAATATAAAAATAAATCACAATGAAATTTAGAAAATATTTTGAACTAAGAGATAATTAATACATAACATAGCAAAATTTGTGAGATAAAATTAATACTGTTTTTGGGAGAAAATTTGTGACTTTAAATGAATTCAAGTAAGAAGTGAAGAAAATCTGAGACACAATGATCTACATAGCTGTTATGAACTCATCGGCACCCCCCCCATTCATATGTTTAAGTTCCAACCTCCAATGTGACTGTATTAGGACACAGGGCTTTATGGAAGGAATTAAGGTTAAATGGTATCATTGCAGGAGAGGCGGGGATAGGGTCCCGATCCAAGAGGGTTAGTTTCCTTAAAAAAGACACAAGAGCGCTTACTCACTCTCTTTTTGACATGTAAGGACATAGCAAGAATGCAGTCACTAGTCAATGAGTGTGTATATGTCCATGAATGACTGAAAAATTGTGCTGAACACTGGAATTTGACACAACATTGTAAAATGATTATAAATCAATAAAAAATGTTAAAAAAAATGTTAAAAAAAAAACTTCAAAAAAAAAAAAAAAAAAAAAAAGAATGCAGTCACTAGTAAGCCAGGAAAGGTCCCCACCAGGTTCACGAGAACCTGACCATGCTGGCACTCTGATCTCAGGCTTCTAGACTCCAGAACCATGAGAAATAAATCTGTTGTTTAAGCCATTGAGTCTAAGGTGTTTTGTTATGGCCCCCCAAGTAGACTAATACCTGTCTCAAGAGTTCAGAAGAAAATTATCAAATGAAAACAGAAGAAAGATTAAAGAATACAGATTAGAGCAAAAATAGGTGAAAATTAAAACAAATGTATAAAGGAAATCATCAAAAGAGCAAAATGTTTCCTTCTGACCAAAAAACCCCCCAAAAAACAAAACAAAAAAACCTCTCAACTGAGGCTAGTAAAACTAATAAATCCAGCAAAATCTATTAAGAAAAAAGGAATCAAGACACAAATGACCTATACTAGGACTGAAAAAGAATCATCACTATATATATTAAACAGATAGAAGGATGGATATTATGAAAACATTTATATCAATATATTAGAAAAGTCAGATGAAATAAACATTCTTAGAAAAACTCTTACCAGCAGAAAAAGAAAACTGAATTGTCTTATATATAATAATGAAATAGAATTCATAATTCAAAACCTTCCTACAAAGACAACTGCAGGCAAAGATGGCTTGGCTTCACTGGTGAATACTAGTTAACAGTCAAGAAATCATTTGAATCTTACACAAGATCTTCTGGAAAACAGGAAAATCATAGGCATTTCTCAACATGTATCAGAAGTCAGCATGACCTCACTATCAAAATCTAGTAAGGATATCACAAGGTAAGAAAGTTACAGGCCGACTTCTCTCATGAATACAAGCAAAAGTCTTAAAACATTTGCAAGGCAATTCCAAAAAATACAGGGTTCGTCTCATATTAAAAAACCAATCATATAATTCCTCCTCTGAAATAAGACAAAGCCCAAATACCATAAAATGAGGGGGGAGGGTATAGCTTAGTGGTATAGTACATGCCTAGCCCTAGCATGCACGAGGTCCTGGGTTCAATCCCCAGTACCTCCATTAAAATAAGTAAATAAATAAACCTAATTACCTCTCCCTACCAAAAAAACAAAAGGCATAAAATCATCTCAAGAGATAAAAAGTAAAAGGCATAAAAATAAAAATTCAATATTCATTCATACTCATTTGATAAGAAGAAACAATAACTAGTGGCAAGAAAAAAGGCACTGGAGTAGGAAACAAATTAAGGTAATTTTGGAAGACTAATAAAATAGTTTCTGAAAGCCATTTATGTTACTGGAAAATGTTTATACATTACCTTACTGTATTATAAAAACAAACCAAAAATTTGCCACCCAGAAATAAATAATTTTGTTAGTAAACCCCTAAATGTCCCTCACAGAAGCTAAACTGACTTGAGATGACTTTCAATGCAGAGAATATATTTAGATCTGTTTATAAATTGAATGCTAAAAGTACCTCTTAAATTTTACCCTTTAAAACATAATAGAATCAAATAAGAAGGCAGACAAAGTAAGACTACTTCTAATTTTAAACACTTCTGGCTAAGTTGAAGTTTGAATACTGCTTTAAAAATCTTTGGCTGTTTTTAAGAAGTGTAGACACAAAATAGGACTTAAAACTAGTAAGGCTAAAAGAGAATTAAAAAAAAAGACTGCTAAGAACACCGTAATAATCAACCCAGTACTTACATCCTTTTGTGTTACTTCACCGTAGCTTTTTCCACATTCCCATTTCAGCATTCTAGAGCCCGCAGGATCAGCCCACGTATAAAATACTGCTTTTCCAGGAGGGAGAGAATCTTCTATTTTACTAAGAGAACTGACATAAACAGTAAAAGATATGCATTAAATTAAGTGCAAGTATATGAATATATAAAGAACCACAAATAATATTTCATTAATTCTGAGTTCATTAATTGAGATTTGTGATAGTTTTGATTATGAGTAGACTGACATTTTTTCCCTATACAATAAAAAAGCGATTCTTCTAAAAAAATGACAAAAATTCAAGGTAAATATCAGTCTTACTTAGAAAATAGGTATCTTCAGGACTCTGAAACTACTTTGTCAACTTTTGTTTTAATACAAATTAATTATGAAAGAAAATTATTCCAGTTACCTTATTTTATCTATACCAAGAGAACTTAACTGGTACTGGTACCCTTTCCTAAGTATTACTGTGGCAAAAACAATACAACTCAATTATTTTTAAAAATCGTAAGACATGGGATACATATGAGAAATTCAATCAATTCACAAAATGATTCCCCAAAAGAAAACGGAAAAGTTACCACCCAAAGAAATAATAAAATGTCACTCTTCTAAGCTGAAGAAGCTGACTCTGTAGATTAGACTTCTTTGGGTATCACACAAAATTAATGGAAACAGTAACATCCTAGACGGATCTCTTTGTAAAATGTTCAAATTCTAAGAAAATAGGTTTGGTCTATTAACACCTAGGAAAATCATAATTACCCATGAAGAAGTAAAAGTAAGACTGGTCTCACACTTTTCTATAATAATGAATGCCAGAAAACAATGGAGCAATGCCTACACAATTTTGAGGAAAGAAGTTTTAACTCAAAATTTTATGTCAAATTGTCACTAATTTGCAAGACTAAGTAAGACATTCTCAAACAAGTAATAGTATAACATACTATCCACCAACTCTTACTTTTTCCAACCAAGCCAGAGATGACTCAAAATAAAATTTTAAAAACTAGGATGCAGAAATATTAAGCTACTAACCAGTCAAGTAAATCAACTTATTAATACATTATAAACCAATGCAAATACCCCAAAAAGCCTTAAATAAACATACTTTTGAAAAGCCATTTTGTATTAATCTGGGTCAAAAATTCCAAATTATAATTATTAGAAACTGGGAATATGGAAAGTAAAATTAAAGAAAATATAAAAGTACAAATCTTTCATGGGTAAGTTAGCAGATACTGTTTAACTTTCAAAATTTAAAATGCATCAAAATCTTCAAGAACACAAAAAAGTAATTATAAGAAAAATAAAATATGTGTTTTATAAATCATCATTAGAAGAAAATAATTTACATTACAAAAGAAGTGCAGCAAGGAGTAATAAATTAGTTCTTAAAAGGATTACAAATGGGTTAAAGATTTTTATTAAAAGACAAACAAGGGAGAATAGACAAAGCTCAGTGGTAGAACACGTGCTTAGCATGCACAAGGTCCTGGGGTTCAATCCCCAGTACCTCTATTTAAATAAATAAATAAGTAATTAGATAGATAGATAGATAAATAACCTAATTGCATCCCCCTCAAAAAAAAAAAGACTGACTTTAACATTTTAAAATCAGAAATACATTCTCAACAACAGAGGATCATTTAATTATAGTGAATTTAAATGAAAGAATATCATGCATACATTAAAAAATTGTTTCGAAGCAAATTTACACGCTTGCAATAGCTGTTAAAAACAAGAGATTCAGCAATATAGACAGACAGCAGGAAATCAATCAAAATGTTAACAGTGTTGAGATTCCACGGATTATGGTTTTCTTTTCACAGTTTTTCTACAGGACTTTAAAAAATAATTGACAGCCATTATTTTTATATGTGAGAAACAATTAAAAACCATATTAACAACAACAAAAAAGGCAAGGGACAGGAAGGCAGAGGAAACAAGCCCTATATTCCTTATTTTTCTATTAAAAAAATCAAATGTAAATATGTTGATCAGATAAATTTGGTTTAAAAATATTTAGAAATGTTTTAATTCATATAAATTTTCATCTAATTTACTGCACAATATTCCTTATGAAAAAATTCATCTTAAATTTATCTCAGGCAGCAGGAATTCAAAGCAAATAAAAATTAACCAGAGTCTGTAGAATGTTAACTATGTACGTGTACAAGTCTTAACCTCACAAAACAGTAACAATACAAGGTGAAAAACACTTTAATCTATGTATGCAAAGGTGCAATGGAAGACTGGGTGTATAGATTACGGTGGTGAGGGAAGGGATCACATGGAAGTGGAGTTTTTCTAGCAGAAAGGAGCATCCATAAAGGTAAAAACACACAGAAGGACCCAGAGCATGAAGGAAACAAACACCTCACTTGGTCTTCAGTATAGGGTAAGAGTTAGGCAACAGAAAGATGTTTAGAAAAGTAGCATAGAAACAGAAGTTTATTTTAAAAGAAATGGAAAGTCACTAAAGAACTTTAAACAAGAAAGAAACATGATTATATTTAGCATTTTTAGAAACCTACCTCCAGCAGCAAATGTAGGATTTACTAGAGATAAGGCTAGAGATACAGATCAAAAATCTACTCAAATAGATAAGAAATGCTGGGAGCCTAAAATAACATGAGAGATTAGGTAAGAGGAGAAGATTTTTAAAAAATAGAGTTTAACTAACTGGATGGTGCGGTGAGGTAGAAGTAATCTAGGATCACAGGGGTAATGACACTGCCATTCACCAAGTTAAGGCTATGGAGGGGAGCAGATTTTGCAGCACAAATGAGGAAGCTGGCTTTGAATCACTTTAGGTTCTTAAGTGATATTTATGAAGAGGTGGCAGCATGAAACTCAAGAGAAGTCTACATTGGACTTGGAGTATAGATCTCGGCATCATAGGCACACAGGACTCTGGATTCAATATCTTTTTAAACCAAAGTTCCATGTTCTTGACTTAACGACTTCTTCAGATAATTCTAATTCTAAATCCAGTGTTCATTCTTGCAAATTGTTAATTTTATAAATGTCCATATTTCCATTAAGACTATACTCTTTTTTTTTTTAAGTTTCAGAATTTCTACACAGGATCACATTCTAGTTTCTCCTTATCCCTTACTTTTACAATTATAACAATGCAGTTGATAAAATTTCTATACACTTTATATCTGACCTGTACTAAAGGAAAGTGTAAATTCAAGGCCAAAGAAAAGACTGAGAAGTCTCTAGCTCAGCCTCAGCAAGGCTCATCCAGATGTCAGAGAATTAAGCTGTGATGCTCTACATCATCCACAGTATAAAAAGAATTAATTTAGCTCCTGTGTATTTTAGAATGTTACCAGTTATGCACCACACTTGGGAGAACTGAGAAAATAGTCACTCAAGTCATTCTCTGTAGGTCTCAATTCTATGAACACTTTTTTGGGAAAGGCTAGCTGAGGTACATGAATTTAAGGGCAAATGAGAAACCATTTCTGTTTGCTTTTATCAGTCTTAACCAACCAATTTATTATCTTCATAATATGAATAATCATCAAAAACAGGCTCTTCTTTCTCTCAACGTCTTCCACAAATGGGAGAACTGACAGACAAGAAGGAGTTCTAGGTATATGTTAGCATAGCCTTGGAGTTCTCAATCAATGGCTATTTGATTTTCACTGATTTTCACTGATGATTCAAAGTGTACTTTTTGCAGTGGAAAAAAAGGATAAATGCACTGATTAATATGCGTCTATTGATAAGTGACAGCAAAACAAACTTAAAAAAAGCAGACAAAATAAATTCAAGATAATTTGAGACCCTTAAGCAGTGGAACAGAAGGTTACATAAACCATAGTGGTACTACGAGGATACATCACAGTGAACTGAAACAAATGATGTCGTTAACAGTCCTGCAACATAAAGATAGAAATATGGCCTTCAGAAAAGCTTACAAGTGTAACAGTCCTTTTCCACATACCTCAGCAAGAAGAAGGTATCTACAATTTGAAAAAAATCTGAAGAATCAATATTCACATTATGTTTACTAAAAATAAAACATTTCAAAAATAGATGAAATTCGTATGATAAACTCTGACAATTTCCTCACCAGATTCCGCAATGATCAAGTTTTTGCCATACTTGCTTCAGTTCTTCTGTTCTTTCCTTTTTTGAAGCATTTAAAAGTAAATTATATCACTAATCATCAGGGAAATGCAAGTTAAAACCACAATGAGGTATCATTTCACACCTGTTGGAACGCTTATTATCACAAAGACCAGAAAAGAATTAAGTATTGGCGAGGACACGGAGAAAAGGGAACCTTTGTATACTGTTGGTGGGAATGTAAATTGGTACAGCCACTATGGAAAACAGTATAGAGGTTCCTCAAAAAACTAAAAATAGAACTACCATGTGGTTCAGCACCTGGATATTTGTTCAAAAAAAATGAAAAAAATATACACATATTCATTGCGGCATTATTTATAATCACCAAGACATGGAAATAACCTAAGCGTCCACTGATGAATGAAGAAAATGTGGTCTGTATCTATACACACATACACACACACACATATATATATTTAATTGAATTAGCCATAACAAAGAAGGAAATCTTGCCATTTGAGACAATATGGATGGACTTTAAGGGCACTGTGGTAAGTGAAATAACTAAGACCGAGAAAGACAAATTCCGTATGATCTCTCTTATATGGAACCTAAAAAATGTAAAATAAGACACAACCAAAAAAACTAAACACATAGAGAACAGATTGGTGGTTTCTACAGGTCGGGGTAGGGGTAAACAAAATGAGTGAAGGTAGTCAAAAGGTACAAACTTCCAGTTATAAAATAAGTCCTAGGGATGTAAGGTACAGCATGGTGACTACAGTTAATAATACTATATTGTATATATGAAAGTTGCCGAGAGTAAATCTCTTTTTTTTTTTAATTGAAGTATAGTCAGTTTATAATGTGTCAATTTCTGGTGTACAACATAATGTTTCAGTCATACATATACATACATACATTCGTTTTCATATTCTTTTTCATTATAGGTTCCTACAAGATACTGAATATAGTTCCCTGTGCTACACAGAAGAAATGTTTATTTTGTATATAGTAGTTAGCATCTGCAAATCTCGAACTCCCAACTTGTAAGAGAGTAAATCTTTAAAGTTTTAATCACAAGAAAAACAATTCTAACTATGTATGGTGATGGATGTTAACTAGACATTGTGCTGATGATTTCACAATACATACAAATATCAAATCATTATGCTGTACACCTGAAACTATTATATGATAATTATATTATGTTTTTTAAAAAGGAAACTACAGATATCAAGTCAGTTTTAACCCTACATAACTTCAGTACACTTTTTTTTTAATGGCAACATTGTTTTACAGGGCAATAATGCTATTATCAGTGTTGATATTCTTAAGAAATTATCATAAGGTCAGTGCCTCATCACTTAGACTCTGCTAAGATCAGGGGAAAATGTATTTGTAATAATCTTCTTACCTTTGCTTGTACTGAACAATGTCATTCTTGGTGTGATTTATTAACAGAAACGGAGCTGCGCCATCATGATAATCTGAAAATTTAATAACTGTAGAATGCTCAGCCAAATTAACCTCTGCTATAATACCTCCAAGCTAGAAAAAAAGGAAAAGAAAATATTCTCTAATGTGATCATTTTCCAAAGAACATTAACCAGTAATACTTAACAATAAAACTATTCATAACAATATATTTTTGATGATTTAGAAAGTAATTCAGGATTTTATACTGCATGTCTGGAAAACCATGACTCAATTATTGTATACAGATAAATTCCAGATGTAGTAGATCCTAGTATTCTGGGTACTCTTTCTTTATAATAATCAAATTGTTTACTTCTCTTGTTTCCTTTTAGAACTTTTTCCCTTTGCAAAGGGAAATGTTTGTTCATTTTCAGTGAAACAACCAAAAAGTCATTTAATACAAAAAAAATTAGTAAGTATATATTAGCTTCTCTAATCACACACAGACACAAGTCACTTACCTCATTATCTAGACGCAATAAAATACAACTTTCTTGCTTGTTAAAATGTATCTTTTTGGGAGGGCCTTCACTTCTTTCAACTTGAATAAGAAGTTTACTAGAAGCATCCTCAGGCCAAAAGGGGATACACTAAAACATACATAATGTATATTAATTTTAAAAATCCCATATTTCATCATAAAGACCTTTATCATTTTAATAAACCCAGGCTGATAACTATAGGCCAAAATTAAAATGTGAAGATTTTAAACTAGCAAAAGAAAAGTTATCTTAAGAAAAGCTGAAATTAAAAACAAAAATAAAGTAAAATAAAAAGTAAGTTGTTATGCATTTGTAATTGCAATTACTGTAAACTAACCGTTGGAAGTCAGAAGCTATAGATTAGGTTTTCAAAAAGAGAAAACCCAACAATCTCATCTGCAATCAACGTATAAATCAAGACATAAAATGGTTGTAAATAAAAGTATGGAAAAAGATACCTCAAAAATATATACAGTAAATAAAGCTGGAGTTATAATCCTAGCATCTAGATATATAGAGAGCTCAAGGATCCAGACTTAATGAGGACACATGAAACATTCACAAAAATAAATCATATATTCATTCAACAAATATTTATTGAGAGCTTACTGTGTTTAATCACTGTTCAAAACCCTACCAACAGCTCTCTCCATCTCACTCAGAGCAAAAGTTAAAATCCTTGTAATGGGTCACAAAGTTCTGCATGATTACCCTTTATCACTGTTAGGCCTTTCCCTCTCCAATAATATTGGCCTCTTTTGCTATCCTCAAACATACCAAATATTCTTCCACTTTAGGGTACACCTATGCTGGCTGATCCTTTGTCTTTAATGCTCTTTCCCCAGATATTCAGCCTCCTGAGGGGTCCAGCTCTTGGCTAAAAACCTATGTGTAATTTTTCAGACCAATGACAATTAGAAAGGCTTTATCTTTATCTGGCAGATTTCACAGGACAAAGCTGCCCTACCCATACCAGACTACGGGCACAGCCAGTGCACTGCATCTCATATGACCTTACAAATACCTGCGTGCTACCACAGGCACGTTTGTTCAGGGGCCGCTTCATCAGGGCCTTTGGCAGAGGCCTTCCTTGGGAACCTTTGCAAGGCCTCTTTATCGGGGGGGGGGGGGGAACTTGAAGACTCTTTTTCTCTACTCTGACCTGCTGCTCAGTACTTTTCTACTCCTAACTGTTTCCACTTGTTTTCCTCCATCCTCCCGATCCATAAAACAGTAAGAGCTTTTTGCTCCCTTGACAGTGACACAACCCCACTGATCCACCTGACCCCTAAGTAATGCTGTTTCATAGGAAAAACGGTACAGGGGGGCTTGGTGCTTTCTTCACTTCAGCCTCTTACTTACACTACTGCAGCAAGTGATTCAAGTCTTGACTTGTACTTTCACTTTGGCTTGCTGTCTTAATCAGCTATTCCTGCACCTGCCAGAGCAGCTCCAGCTCAGCCACGCTTTTGCCAAGTGTACCTCTCACATTTTCTCCAAGTTTGTTCAAATGCAACAGCAATGAGTCCTGACCACCTTATATAAAACTATAGTCCACCCCTTGCTCGTTAGAACTCTTAATACACGTTAGTCTGTTTTATTTCCTCTTCCCCCATCAGACTTGTCACCTTTAAACATGCTGTATATTTTATTAATTGTATGGTATTACCAATTTAATGTTTCCCCACACTCCCACTGAAATGTAAACTACACAAGGACAGGGACTTGTGTTTTTGTTAAAAAATGCATCGCAAGGCACATAAGGAGTACACAATACATATTTGTTGAAAGAATAAAAAAAACAGGCAGATTTGAAAAAAGGTGGAACTTATGGAAATGAAAAATACAACTATTCAAATAAAAAAGTCAGCTGAAGGCTTAAGCTAATTCAGTAGTTTAGATACAGGAAAAGTGAAAATTTATGAAAAATATTTATGTAGAATTTATCCAGAATGCAGCAAAGAGACAAAAAATATAAAACATAAAAAAGATATTACAATATATGAAGACAGAATATAAAGGTCTAGAACAAGTCTGGTTTAAGGCCCAGGAGGAGGAAATGGAAGAAAAGAGGAGAGGCAATATTTAAAGAGACAACAGCTGCAAATTTTACAGAAGGTGTGAAATAAATTACTCCACAGATTAGGAATAAAGCATCTTAAGTAGGATGTATGAAAGAAAGCCACATGCAGACAAAAAAGCACTGTGACAGCAGAACACCAAAGACAGAGAGAAAACTGTGAAGGCAGCTAGAGAAAAAGGAAAGATGATCTCTAAGAGTCATGGCAGAATTCTCAACAAAAATGGAAGCCAGAATAAAAGCTACAATGTGTTGAAAAAAATTAGAACTGATTATCAAGAAAGGTATCATAAAACAAAGATGATGACTAAAACTTTTATGGATAAACACAAACTGATGATATTTACCTCCAAATCAGCTCTAAAGTAAATTCTAAAGGATGTACATCAGGAATAATGATTCCAGAAGGATGGTTTCAAAGCAAAAAGGCACAATGAATAAAAACAGCAAACAATTCTTATAATCCTATCACATTTAGAATAATATTTCTTTGGAAATAAAATATTCTGTCAACCTCAGGCCATCTTTCAGAAAGCCCTTACCAGAGACCTAAGCACTATCGAGCAGAATCAAAATTTCATTCCTGAGTCAGTACTATCTTCTTAAAATATTTGGCTTAAATACTCTATAAAGGCATTCCAACCAGTTTCCTGGAAAGAATAAATAACTGCCTTCTCTTTACTACATTTATACTTTATCCAGGCTTCTGTGCTATATTTAACCCCACTTGGGTAGTGACTATTAAATGTCTATCTCTCTTAGCAAGCAATGCATTCCTAGACGACAAGGTTTGGTTTTTAACATTTAAACAGTTTATTTATTTGATTTATTCTGGCACAAATAAATACTCAAATGTCCATGGAACTGAAACAAAACTGGGAGGTAGGGGTGGAGAGTTAAAACATTACGTAGTGATTTCAGGTATCTAACTTCAAGGAAAAATTAAAATCAAGAGGTATATTTTTGAAATTCATCTACCCACCTGCTCCAAATCAACAGAGAGCCATTTATCACTTCCCTCTTCAGCCACTGATATCCGATATTTGCTTTTGTTTTCAATTAAAAAAAGAGGGGTAAATGTGACAATTCTGGTAATGTTAAAACTGCTAAGGTCTATAGTGACACCAACCTAAGGAAAAAATATTAACATTTCAAAAACTGTTATCATATCAGTCTTCTTATAAAAATTAAGTAGTCAAAAGAGTTAAATAAAACTTTCTTAATGAGCATAGAATGAACTCACTTGATATTCCATTTCCGGGCCTTTACATTTAACAGCTCCATGACTACCAACAGTATCAATTGAAAACTGATCTGACAATTCACTATCGGTTACCATAAGCTGAACCTAGGAACAAATATTTTAAATATATTAGAATTTAGGGACCTTTACAAATTCCCACCTAAGCTGAAACATTTTTTGCTTTTTAGCCTAAACTAATACCACATTGTTAATACACTAAACCTTTCCCTATATTAAAGTCTAATCTTTTTAACCTCAGATATTTCACAAATGTTATTTCTACCTGTTTCATAATATTTTATTCTTCAGAACACTAAAAACTAAAAAGGAGTGATAAGTAGCTAAAGAAGCATGAAAGTTAAAAAAAATTTCACATACCTTATTGTTATTAAAAAAGTGCTTTGGCTGAAAAGAAAAGAGAACTGGCTTTTTATAATAAGGTGGATGCTTTCGATGAATTCCATCTGCTTTGTACTGTAACATTCGACCAGTTTTATTGACCATCCAATAGGGACTATGAAATGCTATAACTGTCTGGCCAATATTATAAGTCACATGGATAGCAATATCTAAATCAGTCTTTTCTAGTTCTGTGACACAAGTAAAACTGATGAAACTAATATCTTGTTGATTAGGTTTTATATGATATACACTTTTCCAATCGTGATTAAGATAGTCAAGTAATTTTAAATGCAGCCTGGCTTTATCTGACTGTACGGTACAAATCTGGGCTGAGCGGCCTTCATGTAGAGTAGAAACTCTATTTTCAATCCCCTGTAATAAAAAAAAAACCACAGTTACTTTTTAATGTTTCAGAATAATATGCCAAAATATTCTATTTTATAATTCCAAATGCTATATAAAATGCTTTTGAAATATCTCCATCAGAAAAAGACTTATGTTCAAGTTCCAATTCTGTCAACTGTGTAAACTTGTATAAATTTTCAGATTTGAGTTATTAAACCTGTAAAATGGTCTAAATGATCTACTTAAAAGGACTACTGTGAGTAAAATTAAACAACATAATGGGAAATTCCACTGGAACTAATGAAGATTATGAAATACTATGAATAGTAAAACAAAAAAAAAACTTACCCACTAGTAATTTTAGTTTTGAAAACTACAAATAAAAAATGTATGAGAAAATTGACAGTAATTCAAAATAAGCAATCCCTACTAACTCCTATTCTTGATTTTTCACAATTCCTAATCACTCACTTCCAATCATTGTTTATACTGAATCCTACATAACTCTTAACACTGTTCATTTCTCTCCACTCACATTTCATTACCTTAGTTTATGTTACTCTGACTTCTCCCTTTAAGAGTCCCCTAACTGCTCTTACCCCTTTTAATGCCTTCTCCGTATCATAGCTAAATGATCTAAAAATTGATCATATCCTTTGAAAACTAGCCAACAAGGTGATACCTAAAAGTATCAAATTAAAAGTTCTATGATAATGGAACATAGATAGTATATCTTGGTATTTCATCTGTTTTTCCAGCATCTCTAAACTGGTTCCCTCTTGTTATAACATATAAATCTCTTCATCTTAAGATTTTAAATTACTTAAAGCAAAAACAACGTTAAGTTATCAATACCTGACATGTTAATAATCCACAAAATAGAATAATAGTGGTGGTGGTGCTAGCGAGGTAAATAAATGGTAACCATGTGTCTCTCAGGCACTGTGCTAAATCCTTCACATATATTATTTGAGTTTCCCTCTATCCCAATCATGCAAATTTTATTACTGTCCCCGTTTTATGGACTAGGACAAATGATTTAGAAAGCTATATAGTTTACCTAAAGACATAAAGCTAGTAAGTGACAGAACTAGGATTCAATCTTAAATCTATCTGAGAGCAAAGTATAAATTCTTAACAACTATGTTATCTGCCAAGAACACAAATATTCTTAAACCAAAGATGTGTTAGCTCCTCCATTCCTACCTGCCAAAAAATACTTAACAAAAAAGTGAAAACATAAAGTAAATCTCAATAATTAATAATTAATAGACTGCAATAAAACAAATAGACTACAATGAAGAATTACTTTCTTATATTTGATAAGCAATGGAAAATAGAGTATTTACTTAAAATCTTAAGATGAAGAGATTCCTGTCATAGCAACAGGAAGGAATCAGATGTAACATATTAAAACAAACAATATTTAAAATAAAAAACATCTGTATAGGGCACGAAATTCTTTTAGAAAAATAGCATGAGAATAATATAGTGTATCAGTTTTTTCCATATAATTTTAGTACCATTATTTTAATACTAATTCTCATACTTGTTGAGAAGTTAGTATCCATCTTTTAAATATATTATGCATGAAATATACACACATGGAAAGATTAAAAAATATTTTATAACTGAAATGATATCTTCATCAGAAGTGCTACCTTCTGATAATGTGATTATAGACAATCTTAATTATCTCTATTTTCTATAGGATTTTTAAAACAGCGTATCATATTTGTGCATATAATTTATATTCAACTTAGTAATCAGATTTTAAGGTAAAGCAGTGGAAAAAAATTTTTTTAAATCCTCTTTTTCACAACATGATTGAAAATTCTTTTTCCATTTCAAGAATATCTGTACTGTCTGTCCACCAGCACTATAAATTTCATTAGAATTTTAAAACACTGTTTATTCTTCATAATTTTAAGTAACTAAAGCTACAGAGTCAAAGACAGGAAGGTACTAAAAAAATTCCAGAATACCTCTATGTAATAGGCAATTTTGTAAGGAAGAAGATTTCGGAGTAGGATAGGTGGCCACAAATGTATTATGTACGGTAAATCCCAACCATCTTCAGAATACACTGACACAGATGTCAAGTTATCTTTTTCTGGGACAATATTAATGATGAATGGCTTTTTAGAAGGGTTTATAGCTTTACATTTCTTCTTTAGAAAAGTGCCATCATTTTTCATAATTTCTTCAAAGTCAATTCCTTCACACATTTGATAGTCTTCATCTTCTGGCTTCAGAGAAAGGAGTGATCTACATAAAAGATTAAACAATACACTTTAGAATGCTTCAAAAAATTTAAAAATTTTCCTCTATATGAAACTAACACCAACAAACTCATCCAGATTATCAAGACATTTACTGAACCCATTATTCACCATTGAGAAGGTAAAACTGAAAAAGCACAAATGAGTAAAGTCATTCTTTACTCATAACGAGATCTCAATGAGGTGGGAAATAACAGTGTTAAAAGGTAACTACTGCATGACACAGGTACCAAAAAATAGACATGCATAGCAGATGGAGGGCATGAGAGTGTGGTTAACTCTTTAGACTGGTTGCTAAGTGTTTTGCAGAAATGACAATTTTCTCAGAAAGGTTTCTTTCTGAAGAGATGAATTAGAGAAACACGCAACGTTAAAGAAAAGGTTAAGAAATGAATGAAGAGAAAACATGAGAGAAAGATGATCAATGGCAAGAGGTTTTGAGTGAGAAGAGCTCATGGAGTGAATGGTCTTGAAACAGAACACCAACTGTTCTGAGAGAGAAGGAAGAAATAGATATTAAAGATGAAGATAAAACATAAATGGGGACAAGAAAATGAGGGAGCAACTATCCCAATGTAAACTTAAACTACTGTTCAAATTTCACATTCCAACATGAACACTACACTCCAATCAAACCCTTAATCTTAATAGTCCTGGACAAACCTTGTGCTTCATTCATGCCTCCTTATCTTTGTTCATGCAATTTCCTTCCACTTAAGATTGTCCTTCCCCACCCATCTCCACATTATTACATTTTAACTGTAATTCATGTCTCTCTCTCAGGAGTCAATCATTAACCCCCTTTCTTTTCCACAGTTTTCTGCAACTACAAATCATTCTGTGATTTTCTATAACCTACTGTTTCCTACCTTCTGTATTTATTTGTCAGTCTCTCAAGGGGAATAGCCAGGCCACCTCCTCTTGGTACCCTACAGCAGTGCCTTACACATACCAAAACACCTGATACATCATTGTTAAATGAATTAAATTTAAAAATCAATATATTTAAATTCTACAGAATGATACTCATTTGATAATTTAAAACCTTATGTCTTAAATATAAGAGTACCTGTATCTAAGCATTGGATTAGAAGGATATTTAATATGAAATCCAAGCTGGTTAGTCACTAGTGATTCTAATCAAGACTGATTAACTCTCATGTAACAAATAAATACTTAGCCTTGAACAAAAAAGTGTAGATACTTTGATGGCCTAATTTTTCAATGGATGGAGTTACAAAACATACAGCAATAGTTTAGTAAAAATAAAGCAGAATACCACTAACTTTAATTATCCAAGAACAAAATGGATTTCAAGTTCCTCAGAGAAATTTCAAGACATATCTTACATGCCACTTTTACTCTAGTCTTATAACCCACCCCAAATCCTGTCTAGAACATATACTATAAACAACTATTTTGTGGTTGTTCTCTCAACAGTGTAATTCTTTCCCTCAGCAAGTTTGAACTAAGGAATAAAACTCATTAGGGTTACAAGGTCTACTGTCTGAAAACATGTGCCTAAAACTGCTAGGTTTCCTTCTTAGCATTCGGGGCCCAACTTGAATTCCTAGGTATGGGTCAGAATAAACAGAGGTAAGAGATATTTAAGCACTGTTTGTAGTTTTGGCTCTGTCCTTCTGAAGCATAGGTCTAAAATGCCCAGGTCTAGTGTGTATTCTAAAATGGTACTTAACAGACTATAATGCTTATTATGAGGAAGTTTTTATTCTCCATTAGAGTTCAGTATCCCTAAAAGAGATTACTTTCAATTCCAGATTAAGTATCCCGAATAATAATACTTGTTTGTTTGTTTTATTAAGCCTGTAATTATGAGACTAGTCCATCATTATTGTTACAATTTTAATAATCCTTCCTTAATAAATATTTACATCAAGTTTAATCTAATTGCTTTAGATATTTAAGACTGATGTGCTCTACAGCTGACCCTTGAACAACACAGGTTTGAACTGTGTTGGTCCACTCATAAGCAGATTAACAAATACAGTACTTGATGATTAGCAGTTAGTTAAATCCATAGATGTGGACACGGAGGTATGGAGGACTGACTATGTGATCTGAGCATCTGAGGATTTTCGTATCATCAGTGGATCCTGGAAACAATCCTCTTTGGATACTGAGGGACAGCTGAATGTGGACTTTTGACTGTGTGGGGGTCACCCTCTAAACCACATGCTGTTCAAGGATCAACTGCGTATCTCTATTTACATTACAATTCTATCAATGAACAATTAATAAATACGTAGACACAGAGATAAAATATTTCACATCTTCTAAAGAAATTTCAAAAAAAATTATATCATAAAACCCTTGAAATGTAAAAATCACTTCATAATAGTATAAATCCAGAAGTCACAAATCACGCTCAATTAGACATTATTTTAAAAATCCTAAATACATATGATTACAGCTATAATAGTTATATTGCAAACATGTAATTTATATTTACTAGTAAAAACATAATTTATGATATAAATTAAATACATTAAATTAAATAATTCTTTAAAAAAATCTTCAAAGTGCTGAAACTTAAATAAGTTATGTGAGATACTAACAAGACAAATTTGATTTCACTTAATGTTAGATATCACTACCAAGTCAGAAACTAAAAAGTCTATATAAGAGATCTGAGAGCAAACAAAAACGACGAAGAAAAAAAAAATCACCGGTAAGACGCTAATGGTACGTTAAATTCATTTCCAGGTGAAGCCGTTCCCAGCAAGGCGTCCCCTCCATAAACATAAAGCAGTATTGAAAAATGATTTCTAATCTGGAAAAGAAAAATAACATTTAGTATCATCAGTCTAAGAATCTAAAGACATTTAAAAAAAATCCACTTAAATATCTCAACATAGGAATTATCAGGCGATATTTATCTTCCTCATACAAATTAGAAAAAAACCCCAAAACATGCTATTACGTATGCCAAAAAATACAAGGAAAGTTTCCACAGTTTTATAGAAAATGACTCTCCAAAACAAAACTTTAAAAATCCTAGAAGAAAATAAGATATCTTCCTGACCTTGATATAAGGAATAATTTTCCCTTTAGACAAAAACAGTAGAAAAAATTTCATAAAAAATATTACATCAAAATTTTAAATGTCTGTATGATAAAAGTGAAAAACAAGCCACAGGCTGGGAAATGTCTACCTTTTTGTATCACTGTTGTATGCTACCCACTGGATGAAAAGTGACAGTATCTCATCCAATGAATAGCACACAACACTGATATAATAGAATAACATTATTTTGATTAACATACATTATAGATAAACCTCCACTTGTAATTATCTTTGGGATGGATAAAAACAATTTGGTTAGTAAAACCATTTTCTTGTATTATTTCCATATCTTACTGAACTATATTTTCAAAATCATGCCAAAATATAAATCATGCTGAGAACTAAGAATTGACAAATGTATAATCTTAACTATATTTTTATTTCTAGATAAACTGCTCTACTTCTTTGAAAGAAGAGTACATTTTCATTTCTATGAAAGTACCTACAAGAAGTTTAAAATTAACGTTAAACTAATAAAATTTAAAAATAATCAACCATAATGGGAGCAGCTCAACAGTCATCTTTTAATACAGTTCATTGTAAATCAAAAATTAAACACAAGAATTTCTGTTTTCATCCCTGATGGAGTAACATAGACCAGATGTACCTCCCGAGTTGAAACAACCAAAACACAGGGGAAAAACACACATTAAGCAACAGTTCTCAGACATTGGTCAAAAGGCAGCACTGAAAAGAAAGAAAAAAACCACTAATGTTAAGTCCTAAGATTGTCACCCTCTCTCACTTCCGAGAAAGTTTCTAGATTACTGTGTGGAGAAGTCAAATGGAGCCTAGTTTGCCTGAGTTGAAGAGACATATGAGAATTTGGGAAAGCCAATGAGGCTTAATCTCACAGCACATTGTATGAGAGAGGAGAGAGCTGCATGGAGAGGCAATAGTTGCAGAGCAGGAACTCCTGAGATTTTAAGAGTGTCCCCTGTTCCCAAGACTTCAGTTCTGTGGTGACTGGCACATGCTTGTGAGTATACTATCTAAGCCTCAGTAAAGATCCACCTAAAAGGGACAGGCAAAACGATCTCTGGTGCTGCCACACTTTTCTCACTAACCAAAGTGGTAAAACCTTGTTTAGTACAAAGGGTATTGGTTACAGTGCTTTACTAGTGGAGCTAAATTAGTCCCAGACTACAGGCTGCTTGAAGTTCACCTAAAAAGTTCTAAAACAAGCACTGAGAGGATCACTTTCCAACTATCATAACTGTGTTGGAGAATTATGTTCAAAGAACATATAAATGTGTTTGCTTCAGCAGCACATATACTAAAATTGGAATGATACAGAGAAGATTAGCATGGCCCCTGTGCAAAGATGATACGCAAATTTGTGGAGTATTCCATATTTCTTGTATATGTATGACTGAAACATTATGTTATACACCATAAATTGACACAACATTGTAAAGTGACTATACTTCAATTAAAATAAAAAGAATATATAAAAGAATATAAATATATATAAAATAGCCAACAAGGTAAAATTCACAATTTTTGACATCCAGTAAAAAATTACTAGACACATTAAAAGAATTTTAAAATGAGCCATAAAAAGTGAAAATTAATAAAGTGAAACAAATCAGAAATGATACACATGATAGAATTAGTAGACAAGGATATTAAAACATTTATGTAACTATATTCAATATGTTCAAAAGTTAGGGGAAAGACTGAGTATACATAAAAAGACATGGGAAATATAAATAAAAATGCAAACTGAATTTAACATAAAGATACACTGGATGAGATTAAGAGCAGATTAGACATTGAAAAGTGAATCTAAAGATGTAATAGAAACTATCAAAACAGAAACACAAGAATTGGGGGGAAGCTGAAAGAAAAAGTGAACAGAGCATTAGTGGGCATAAGTTTAAACACTATAACATATATATCTAACTGTGGTCCCTGAAGAAGAGAAGAGGGGGGGAAGACAAAAGGAATATTTGAAGAAATGATGGCAAATTTTTTTTTCCAAAGTTGATGAAAACTATAGATCCATAGATTCAAGAAGCTTAATAAATTCAAGTATAAGAAATATGAAATAAACTAGAGTAGGATTCATTCCAATCAAATTGCTTAAAACCAGTAATAAATGGGAAAAAATCTTAAAAGTATAAAAAAATAACATCACACATTTCATAAAAAAGCAAAGATAAGAATAACAGCAGACTCTGGTCAGAAACAATGTAATACAGTCAACAGTGAACAACATCCTAGAAGAATGGAAAAAAATAATGGTCGATCTAAATCGCTATGCCCACTGAAAGTAACTTAAAACATAAAAGTGAAAAAAAAGTAAAAACAGTTCATTGACAAATTTCATAAAAGACATAAAATTACTAGAAAAGCTCACCTAAGAAGTGCCAGACAATATAAATAGCCCTTAAAGTGAAACTGTGGTTGAAAACATTTACACAAGAAAAACATTATAAGAAACTCTATACCAACACCTCTAATAAACATAAATGCAAAAATTCTAAACATGAATTTAGCAAATCAATCTAACACAATAATACATTAAAAGGCTAATACTTCATGACCAAACGAGATTCATCCTAGAAATGCAAGGTTGATTTAATATTAAAAATCAGTCGTATTTAATATTAATAATTAAAATCCAATGTCATTCATCATATTAAAAAATTTTTAAAGATCCTCTCAATAAACACAAAAATAATTTGACAAAATCCAACATTCATTCCTGATAAGAACTCTCAACAAACTAGGAACTGAAGGGGTCATGCACAAAAAAACTACAACTCAAAACATACTTAATGGTGAAAGAGGAAAACACTGTTCTCCTAAGACTGAGAACAAGACAAAAACATCTGCTTTCACAATTTCTATTCAAATTGTACGGGAGGTTCTAGTCAGTGCAACAAGCAAGAAAAAATAAAGTAAGATGATGAACACTAAGACTGGAAAATAAGTAAAAACTGTTTTTGTCTGCAGACATACCTATAAAGAAGTTACTAGAACTAATAAGCACATCTAGTAAGATTGCATAATACATGTAAATATAAATACCAAATGTACTTCTACAAGCAATAAAAAAAATCAAAAATTAATATGAAAAATGCCCATTTTAACAAAATTTTTAAATAAAAATTGAAAACCTGAGTCTAAAATTTAAATGGAAGTGGAAAGACTTAGGCTAACTAAAACAACTTTGAAAAAGAACCAAGTGGGACAACTTGTACTACCTCATTGCAAGATTCAAGATAAAGTAATAATCAAGACAGTATGGTATTGGCATAAACAGATTAGAGACCTCAGCATAAACACACAGAAATATGGCCGATTTATTTTTGACAGAAGTGTCAAGGCAATTTAATGGAAAAAGGATAATCGTGTTTGGAACAAATGAATAGCCAAATGGAAAAAAATGAACCTCAAACCTTATCTCACATTATATACAAAAAAAATCATTCAAAATGGTATGTGCTACTGTATGTATAGGATAGATTACTACTCAACAGCAAGATGTAACTGCATGTAACAACATTAACACACACAAGTTGATACATAAAAAATTATGCTGAGTGAAGAAGCCAGACTCCATTCCCTACTTCATTCCATTCATATAAAATGCTGTATTGTGTATCTAATGTATGAGAATATATCAGTGGATGCATGGAAATGGAGTAGAGGGTAGGGAAACTTTTTGGGGTGTTAAGTATGTTTATTACCTTGATTGTGATGAAGGTTTCAGACATGTAATTTTGTCAAAATTCATCAACTATAAATATATGTAGCTTATGTACATAATTTTACCTCAATAAAGCTATACAAAATTTCTCTCACTGTATTCTCTAATTAAAACAAAAGGATAAATACATACTACAAAGACCTAAAACAAAATGTTGAGATTTTAACAAAATAATATTCCAAAAAATTTATAATATTCCTATAAAATTATGAGTGTATTCAACAAAATTCTACAACTGCTCATATTAGAGTAGTATAATTACCGATAATGATTATTCTTTTTGATATTAGCTATATTTTTATTACAGCTATATTCTTTTGGTAGTAATTTGCTTTAACTTTTTTTCTTAGCACACAAATATGCAAAATATGAGCCCACAAAAAACTGAATCATTCCATACCTGCACGGGGGAGCGAATTGTTACCTTCTTACTTCCTTCCACTGCATCAATTTGACAAACAATAGATCTTTCAACTCCAGACTCTCTGTGTCTTACAGTGTACAGTCGTCGTCCCACTTTTGTTAAAGGGATTTTATCAGCAGTAGAGTGGTTAGCAGGTGCTAAATTAAATATACATGTTTGAATGTTTTTATTAGAAATTATCATACATTAATTTTAAGTAGACATTATAAGCCAGAAACATCAAATGATTTCTTAAACTTATGAATAATTATCACTGATACCTATACAAAGAATCCATAATACATTTCTACATCATTTATCTAAAACCTTCAAAGCATTTTACCAAAGTTTTTAATTGAAAAAAAATCTCATTTGGTAGCTTAACCTAAGACAACAGCATAACCTTTTAAAAATAACTGAATGATGAGAGAACTTATTAGAAATTACAAGAACATTGACCCCTGGTTTGCTTTCATAATAACCAGAGCCTGATATATCCAGGCAGTCAATTACCAAGTAGCTGCAATTTTTTAGTTTTAAATTTTTCTAACAATCTGTGACACTTGGTGATAGCTAAGATTTGATTAAAATTTTATACAGTTTTTCTAATATACACACATATATTGTATTGGGGGGTGAATTATATATTTTTATAACACTCCCCCCCAGCAGAATCCCATGAAAATGTTAGTTTAAAAACAAACAAGAGTAACTGATGAGAAAAAGTCACTGACAATGCTGGGACAACACCTGAAACCTAGCCACTGTTATGAATCATTTCCTGACTAGGAAAAAGTACTAGCTATCAGTTTTAGTACCCTTCCAAGTCCAACTTTTGAAACCCTCTCCCTTCTGATAGGGCCTGAATAGTCAGGGCAAGGCAGGCAGGGGAATGAGGAATTCAAAACAAAGAACTCAAAAAGACCTTGAAGAAGACCGATTAACCTGATATTCTGGTGCCCTGGTATACACCCTAGTTCCCTTTTCCTTCCTATGTACAAACGAGGGATTTCTAGATACTAGTGAGCATGCACACTTACAAGCTGGAAAAATTCCATGGTAGGGGGCATGAAAAAGCCCTTACTGCTACCTGCAGATACAGCCCCACCACTGCCCACAGGGGTCCGGTCCCGTCCCTCTTCTGTCTCTTCAACTAATAAAAACTTGCAGTGTGCAGTGACTCTAAAGTCTCCTTTAAGTTCTTTCGCTGAGAACCATGGGTCACTGACCTCTTACCCACAACACCTTCCATAACTACTTAAATGTCAAAGAGTGTCAGAAAGTGGGACTGTTTATGGGACTGTTTAATATCTAACTTCACAGTGAGTACTGTTTAATATGGGACTGTTTAATATTTAACTTCACAGTGAGTACATACTATGATAATTTTAAAATGTATTTACTTTCATCTCTCATGAAAATGAAAAACTTCTGAGACACATAAAGGACAAAGGAAAAAACTTCTACCTCAATAGGTAGAACATAAAAAACATTTACAAACTCAAAAACCATTACCTTGTGCCATTTCATGAATTCAAAGCTTATTCTGAATTTATTCAGTTGCAAAACTGGTGGAATTCTACCGAGTTATACTAAAAGTCATTAAAACCACCACCAATAGCTATAGTCTGTAAAAGCTAACTGAGGATGACACTTAATACTTTTCATCTCCAAAACATAAAGCAGTAAATTACCATGCTCTAAATAAAGCAGTGGATAAAGAAAGTCAGAGTTTGAAACACAAAGATATAGTAAGAGCAACAAACACCCTGCAAAGGAAATAATAATAAAATTCACAACATATTAGGAAGGAGAGGAAGGCAATTTATCACTTACTAAGAAGAATGAAGAAGAGTTTGCTGCTTAGGCTCGTCATTGCATTGAAATGATCATTGTCTTTAGTTCGGACATAATCCATACTTAAACTCTCCTCGCTTTTCAACACGTATGATTTTGCCATAGGTACGTTGAGTACACTAAAAGATTCACTTGGCGAAACAGAGATATTAAGTCCAAGAGAGTTTAAAATCATAAATGGTGCTAGATCCCTTACGAAGGCAGCTGAAGATCGAGTGGCAGCTTCCGTAAATGCCTAATAAGGAGGAGTTACCATAAATAAAATAAAATAAAATGTAGAAAATTAATTGACCTGCAGAACACTAATGGATATATGAAAAATAACTAAGTTAATAAAAAACTCCACTGACTTTTCAATAGAAGAAAAGAGTAACTCAGACTAGTATAAAGTTTCTTTTCTTACCTTGACTAAGTTATTTAACATTACAAGGCCACATTTGGATAATGTAATGTTTAGTTGGTCTTTTGAATGGATAGTGATGACAGTTTTATATTCTGGCACCTTATAATTTTCTTCTTCAGTACCTGACTCAACAATGGCCTTTTTGGCTTTCTTTTTCATCTAAAATAATAAATAATAGAAATATGAGGAAAATTTCTTCTTAGGAGCACAACGTAACTCATTTTGCAAAGGGAAAACAAAAACTAGACAAATTCCAATAACATTACAGACAGCAATAAATTTTATCAGTTCCACTGCCTTACTGGAATTACCTGAACATCAGTCAACTAAGGTCATATTGGACAGGAGCAGTATTAGAAGAAAAATTCTCCTCCCCAGTTACACTAAAATGGCAGGCACAATTTAGATGGGGGGAAAAAAAACCCTAAAATCACCAAACTCATGTGGCATCTGAATGAAAATGAGAAGTACCTACTTCATATCACATGGAAATTCAGAGCAAAAAAGTCATTTAGTCTATTGCTTATGCCATAAATTAAAAAGAGAAACCTAGGGACTTAAAAAGTCCAACAACAGTTGCAGAACAGTGCTAACAGGAACATGGCCTTATGTGAATCAATACCACGTGACTCTTTTTAGGATTCAGATCCACTGCCTATGTACATTCTAACCTAACAACCACCAAAGTTCCTTTATCCACATTCTTTATCTGAATTATGTGGAAAATCAAATGTACTGGTCCAGTACAAAATGCTGGCTGTGCCAAGCTAGTCAGTCGCCTTCGTTGTTCCTTTAACTGGCTTTAAACCAGGGAAAATGTGTGTGCACACTGACTGAATTATTATTAGGGAGGAGACATGCTAGTAATTCTGCAGCCTCTTGCTTCAGAAGCACAATTTCATCCAACCAAAGGTTCTGATTTGTATGATTACATAAATTCACACCATATTTCAAACAAATAATATATTTTCTTCTATACATACACCCTTCAGAGAGCAAAGAAAACTCGGGACAGACAACAACCTACAAGGAAGTGCTAGAGCCACTTTAACCTGGTGGTTACATGTGGGACTCTGGAGCCGGTGCTGCATCCCACCTCTTCCAGCTTGAAGGTACTGTTACTTTATGGAAATCCTTCAACGTCCATAGTTTTAGTCCCACCACATGTTAAAACGGAGCTTAAAACTGTATCTTTTCCAGAGGGGTTTGTTGTAAGGGTTAAAGTAAAAGTAAATTATTTAGAACAGTATATAATAAATGTTTACATGATTATTTGTATAGGAGAAGCACAGGAGGCATTGGCCTGGGTTTGAAAATAATGCTCAGAGGTCAAACAAGGAAGCATGTGGAAAGCCTTATAATGAGGTAATTGAACTCTGTTGTGATGAAAATTAAAGTGTGTGTGGTATGGACACCCTCAACACTTGAAAAATATTTTCAAACTCCAAAATTACCTTGATTCCAAGATTCCATGGTCTAAAATCCTCAGTCTGATCAATTTCTAAGGGTTCAAGCAAAGGCTCCCATACACCAAACATTTCATTGTAATAATGTACCTAGAGAGAGGATTTTTAATTTTTTAAATAAGGCATTCTGGTATTTTCTAAAACAATCTTCCGTGCTGTTTCCTACCACCATTCCTTTTGGCTGTACTATTTCTTCTTTGTATGAAAACCATCTACATGCCATTCGTTAGTTTCCTACACATACTTCCTCAGTGCTTTCCTTACCTGGCTATCCTCGAGGTCTAGTCTTCACAATTTAATCCAGACAAAACTTTCTTTTAAGTACCTTTCTTTGACTTTGAAGCTGGGCTTAACATCAAAAATTGTGTTCATCTATGAAATACTATTGACAATTTTTAAACTGTCTACCTCCACTGACTTTTTGAAAGCCCCTGAAGGCAAGTAACATATGATTCAATGAGTGGCTTACTTATTTGAATTCTCTGAACTTGGACATCCTAGATCAAATCCTCTGCAAAATACAATTTTAGCCAAAATTTGAAAACTTGAAATCTAGTCTGTCAGTTCTACCTCTATTATAGTATATAACTTTGTATCAACTCAAATATTACAGCAGTTTATGAATTTTCATAATTATTAAAGTTGAATATCAGAGTAGTTTCCACTAGACATAAACTCAGTAATTTAAAGCAAAATATCTCTGGGGTGATTCCATGTAGATAAATTCTAAAGCAAATTAGAATTTGTTGGTTCAAAGCAAGTATCTTCCATATAAACAATTAAAGGACTCTCACAAAAATTTGAAAGACTTTGGTTGATTCTCATGAGAGTAATAAAGATTCTACATTATATGTAAGTATAAAGCATATCCTTCTAATTCTTTATAAACTATATTAGAAGAGATTAAGAAACAGTCTAGTATCATTTTAAAGGAAAAAGGGTATTCAATTTAATTCTTAATATTAAGAATTTTGAATCTGCTCAACAATTGTGTATTAATATTATCAACTGATAAAATCAGTTGAAATATAAATTCAATATGGGTATGTACTCTAATGTACACATAAAAATGTATCAAGGGTATAAATTTATAAACTTTCTTTCAAAAGTTTTGTGAACCAACATCATATATAGAATAAACAATTTTAATGTTTAAATAAGATTCCCCAAATAGTTCATGTGTAGAATTATTTGTCAAAAAATCTGGAAAAATACTACATATGCTTACTTCAAGCTCAAGCTGACAGTGGAGATTTATTAGAGAACTCCAGTTTTTGCCTTCCCCTGAGAAATGTGATTTTGCTAAAAGCATAGGCACGGTTCTATGACCAATTCCAGCCTCAAGAACTATAAAAATAGAATCAATGTTCATTCTTATCATCTCTCCTTTGGGTACCAATTCAGTTGCGGGAGCTACTTTTTCAGCTTCATCTGGTTCTTCAAGAAACCACATTTTCAAATTCTTTGTATCCTTCTTTTCCCATAAATGTGCTGTAGAAGCAGCAGTTTCTTGTGGGATGGTTTCCTTAGCTGTATAAAGTGCTGAAGTTATGGTGATCACAGTATTTATGATAACTGGTGAAACCTGAGGGGAAAAATTTAAACTAAAAATTCTATACACACCACTTTAAAAAAATACATACTTCAAAGAACATTCAATATACCTACTGAAGGATCAAGAAAAATTAACACTGAACTAACATTACTACCAAGAAATAGCAAATACAATTTTTTGCCCATAGAAGTTTTTTTTGATTATTGTAACTAATTTTAATTGTTAAATATTTACATGTCAATATCAAACTGTTCAATTTCAACTATACATACTATATGGGTGTTAACTACAGAAACAGTCAACTGCCAATAATAAAATATATGAAAACATTCACTACAAAATGTATATTAAATATCATTTTAAAATTATGTATTATAAAATATTTCCAAAAACAGCTTCTTTTTTGCTTATTTAACAATTCAAAGTTGCTATAATAATGGCATATTTCTAAGTTTTATTAATTTTTTTTTAAAAACACTACAGATCTGAACGATTGACTATATTGTAACTTACCTTCAATGTCAGTGATTTTACTGATAAATCAATCACCTGTGGATCTGTACTTATCTGAGTAGCTTGACAGAATAAGTCACAGGGCTGCAAAACCTATCAGAGAAAAACCAATACTATTAAAATAACATTGTTCTTACAATATTTTTATTTAAAGACTTGCCCAGTTGTCCATGAATGACTGAAAAATTGTGCTGAACACTGGAATTTGACACAACACTGTAAAATGATTATGAATCAATAAAAAATGTAAAAAAAAAAAAAAGACTTGCCCAGTAATAGATAACAAACAAGTTAGTAAAAGTAACTATATTAAAAACAAGTGAATCAATAGCACATTTCTTAAACAGAAAACAAACTGTAGTTACCAGGGGGGAAGCAGGGGGAGGGATAGATTAGGAGTTTAGGATTAACAGATACACATTACTCTATATAAAATAGATAAACAGCAAGGACCTACTGTAGAGCACAGGGAACTATATTCAATTTCTTGTAGTGAGCTGTAACGGAAAAGAATCTGAAATTATCTATACATACACATATATGTGTATATATATATATGTATAACTGAGTCACCTTGTTGTACACCTGAAACTAACACTGTAAATTGACACTTCAACAAAAAATAAGAATTAAAAAAAACATTCTAAAATTATCCTATTATTTATAATAAACAGGAAGTACTAAAAATATTAGCAACAATATTAATATAACAAAGTAGAAGAATTTCTTAAATATGCTTAAATACATGAAAACCCCAAAAACTTGTATCGTATATTTTATTTTACAGTAGTCCCTTGGTATCCCTGGGGTATTGGTTCCAGGACACACACACTTGTCCCCTGTTGCCTTCTCTCTACCCACTGCATATACTAAAATCCAAAGATGTTCAAGGCCCTTACATAAAATGGCACAGTATTCAACAAAAACCCAAACTACTCAATTAAAAAAACTGGACAGAGGAGCCAAACTTTTTCCAAAGATAAACAGATGGCCAACAGGCACACAAAAAGATGTTCAACATTACTAATTATTAAGGAAATGCAAATCAAAATCACAGTAAGATATCACATCATACCCATTAGAATGGCTATTATCAAAAAGGCAAGAAATAACAAGTGTTGGAAGTATGTGGAGGAAACGGAAACCCCCACACTACTGCTACAATAATGGCAAGTTTTATTATTTTTTTAAAAAGACACTACAGATCTAAAGTGCCTATCAACAGATGAAGAGGTAATGAAAATGGGGTATGTGTGTTTACATATAAATATATGTGTGTGCTGTGTGTATATACACATATACATATACATACATGGAATACTACTCAGCCAAAAAGGTGAAATCTCATCTTGCCATTTGCAACAACATGGATTCACCTTGAGGGTATTATGCTAAGTGAAGTAAGTTATGTGGAAAGACAAATACTCTTACAATTTCACTTATACATGTAATGTGAAAAACAAACAAAATAAATGAACAAATGAAACAAAAACAAATATATAGATACAGCGAACGAGAGTAGAAGTTACAGAGGCGAAGATCAGGGGACAAAATGGGTAAAAGGGGTCAACTGTATGGTGAATGATGAAAACTAAATTTTTGTTGGTGAGCATGCTATTGTGTATGCAGAAGGAGAAAAAAGATACTGTATACATGAAACTTATATGTTCTATACCAGTATTACCTCAAAAGGAAAAAAAAGGGAATAGTACAGTTAGTTGTCTGTATCCACAGGTTCTTTTTTGTGGATTCAACTGCAGACTGAAGTACTAAAATAAAATTTTATCATGGTATTTTTCCATTATAAAATGAAATGATCTATATAGGACAAGCTACAAAAGATAAGAAAAAATATAAACACACTAGATTTACTAAATAATTCTTAATATAATTATAAATTAACTGAGTTTTCCCTAACTATAGTAAGCATAAATCTGTCCTGCAGTCCTTAGTTACTCATGGTCCTTCCAAATGCAAAATATATTTACTTTCTCTTAAGGTTCCTAACAGTCTTCTCCCATTGTAGTCCAAAGTTCTGCACACCATCCACTGCACAATGGTGAGAAGTCACTCCAGGACCTTGCTTATGATATGTAATCTCTCCCTATCCATTAAACCACTGATGTCTCTGTCACTAACTCCGGGCTCTTTCTTCCATCTTGAAGAGGGGTGAGTACAAGCCTTTTAGGTCTGCAAGGTGTAGCCCAACACTAGTCCAAAGCAGTTTTGAAATCCAGCCAGGTAGATGAGTTTCTTGATTAGATTCAAAATCTACGAACAATTCTCTGTGGCTTTCAACTGCACTCTCTGAGATAGCCTTCCTTTTTTCAAAAAAGGTAGCACAAATTTGCAGCTGAGTAGTTATATCATTCTGCTTCCTGTCAGTAGAATGTTGAGGGGTCCAAGAGTCTCTATTTTATACTCTGTCTCTCTCCGTCCATGCTCGCAGTGTTTCTCCTAAAACAATTTTCTCAAGGACCTTGAGGGCTTTCTATACATTTTATGAGGTTTCATTTCATTTAAGCTGCATTCACAGATCTTTTTTAGATGATCATGGCTTTCTGCTCATATGGTTAAGGGAAGACATCCTTATGATTCCCAGAGGCCCTCCTCTGGTTTGACTGAAAAGATCTGTGAAACACACATTAATCTCTTGAAAGGGCCCTTTGTGTGACTGATTACTCTATGACTTTTTAATCTGAGGTTTAGCAAAAAGTTATGCAATTACATATTCTTTTCTCTGTGCTACACTTATGGCACATTTCTGACTTTTAGCACCATATGCTATTTGGAAGGCTGAGAATTATCAAAGTCATTAAGTTCTGGTTCTTTTTGTTTAACTGTTTCCCCTCAAATTTATCTCTCTGCTCTAGCATTTTTTCTATAAACAATAAGAGACCAGACAGAACCTTCAAATCAGGCAGCTTGGAAATCTCCTTAGCTATATACCTATGTTTGTCACTTACAAGTTCTCCTTTTCACATAACTCCAAGACACAATTAGCAAAGCTTTCTGTCAGTACATATCAAGCCATCCCCCTACTTCCAATAACATGTCCTTTACTTCCTTCTGAGTCCTCACTGGCAGCATTCTTAAATGACCATATTTCTACCAAGAGAGTTCAACATAACTTAGGCTTTCTCTATCATTCTCTTCAAAATTCCTCCAACTTCTACATTTCTCTGCTTACTTCCCAGTTCCAAAGCTGCCCCCACATTTTAAATAACTGCTACAACAGCATACTGCTTATATACAAAAATCTGTATTTGTTTCCTATTGCCACATACAACAAATCACCACACAATTAGTGGCTTAAAATACCACAAATTTATTATCTACCCATTTTCAGGGGTCAGGAATCTCACTGAAATCAGATGTCAGGGTGCTGTGTCCTCGTCTAGAGGCTTGACTAGGGAAAGATCTGTTCCCAAGCTCCTTCATGTTGTTGGCTGAATTCATTTCTTTGTGGGCCAGGCCTGAGATTTCCATTTGCTTGCTAACTTTTGGCCAGGGACTACTTTCTACTCCTATTAGTCCCTCACAGGTTCCTGACATGTGTCCTTACTGACATGGCAGTTGGCTCCTTCAAGGCCAGCAGAAAAGCATCTCTCTGATGTTTCACCATTTTAAAAATTAGGTTAGGTCCACTGAGAATCTCTCTTTGTTAAAGTTAAATGATTAGTAATCTAACTATATTCATTGGTCCTGTCCACACTCAAGGGAAGGAAACCATACTGAGCACATGCAACAGGAGGCAGAAATCTTGAAAGCCATCTTGGAATTCTGCCTACATTAAAGATGGAAAATAAATCAGAAAAAAATATATATATATCACCTCTAAACCTATTCTCCAAAGAAAGCACATCAAAATCTACTACTATTCTAATAAATCAGAAAGATCAACTGGTACATGACTTAAATATTCAGTATATTATTTCTTTAAACTTCAGGGATAGAAAATTATAACCACATTGCAATATATAATCTAAGACTTTAAACAAAAAATTTGTGTTATTTTGTCTTTTTAGAAAAGGCAAAAAATAAAAACAAAAATACTATTATAAACACATATAAAAATTTCTTATAACTTGGAAATTTTTAATTGGCTTTTTAAATAGTTCCTTCATCCAAATAAACATGAAGGTGTGCTTTGATCCTTAGCCAATTCCTATATTTTCAAGTCTAATTAAGCTACCTAGAATTAAAAATGCAGCTGGTCCTTAACAGTAAACATGTTCATGCCAAAACTATATTATAGTCAAATTTTCCATAATATAGTCCATATAGATCAACTTAATAATGTGGAAACATTTCTTAAAATGGAATTATTTTCCTACTAGTATGATTTTATTGTCTCCAGCTACATCCATTGTGACTTTACTGATATTTCCATCATTTTTTTTTCCTCCTTCCTACTCTCATCTCTCACCATACTGCTCCCAGTCTCGTATGATTTTTACTACTGGTGCATTTCTTTCCTGATGATACTGCTTCCCCTTCAAAGAAGCAATCTTAAGCTAACATCTACAGAAGCCTACAAGAGCTGATTATAAATTCTCTACTTTAAAAACACTGCCTTGGTGGTGGGAAGGGCTGCTTCAAGCTGAGGATGACTAAATACTAAGAAAAAAGTTAGGATATAACAGGATAGATGTTGGTATGTGGGTAGATGTGTGGTGGGAACTTGCACTCTCTGGAACCCAGGTACTCTGCATACAGTATCCCTTAATCCTGAAACATACTCTGGTAACTCCTCTATTCCCGTTTAACTAACTTCATCATCTTTCAGGCATCAGCATAAATGTCCTTTCTATTGAGAAGTCTCCCTTACCTACTACTTCAGAACAGTTATATATAGTCTTCTATATATAGTTCTAATTAACAAACAGAATACAAGAACAAACTAAAATATCCTCAAATTTAGGATTAACCCATAAATGTAAGGCTGGTATGCCATAGGACAATCAATGTAATTTATCTTCATAATAATAAAAACTACTATTGTTTTTTCAACAGATAGCAGTAAGCAATCAAAAAAATTCAACACTTATTCATGATTAAGATTCTCTCAAAATTTCATGTGGAATTTTATCAACATACTAAGGGTCTCATATTTAAATTCAAAAGAAAATATTAAAATTATAGTACTATCACCTCGCTTTTAACACAGGAATACAATGAGGATGAATCCTTGTGGCCATTGAATCAATAAACAAGAATGTAGCTTTTGCAGATGATTTTTGGTAAGTCTAATATTAATAAAAATATTAGTACAAGTAATAAGTTTAGAAAAGTTAGAGAGTAAGATAAATTCATGAAAAAGCTGACAACTATTTATAATAGATATAAAATAAATCATATATCTGGATCATGATTTAGCTTTTTAAAAAAGGAAAATTTAAAATACCTAAAGGATTTAAGAATTTTAAAGATTATTATAAAACCTAATTGGTGAAACAGACATAAGTAAATTTATAGTCTATAGATAGCAAAGATGAGAATATCCTATGTTAATAATTGTGAAAATTTAGGGTCATTTATCCTCTGAAATTAAATTCTAATAGGAAAAAAGTATATATACCACATTCTCCATACGTCTTCTTGAAGTTCATGAATATTTCTTTTTAAGTTCATGAATCTTTAATAAGCACACATGAAATGAACCCGAGAGACGAATGATGAATTAAGAAACTTTTTTCTAATATAAAATGACTATGATACCAATTGAAGTTCAACAAATTGCAACTTATCAAAATATACATAGCTTCCTAATTTTTTTTTTTTGGTAGGGGAAGGTTGTTAGGTTTACTTATTTATTTTTAGAGGAGGTGCTGGGGATTGAACCCAGAACCTCAGGCATGCTAAGCATGCACTCTACTGCTTGAGCTACACCCTCCCCACTAATATATACATTGCTAAAACATCTAGTTGACCGTAAATAATCTTTTCAAAGATTCCTATTCAAAATTTCCTATAATCATAGATGTTTCCCTTATATGGATGCCCAGCTAAAGATATCCCTTTTTAGACTTCTGTTTCAAAATTTCCTATAATCATAAATGTTTCCCTTATATGGATGCCCACTTAAAGATATCCCATTTTTAGACTTGTTTCCATCTGTGAAGGAAGAAACTTGTGGGAAAGCAACAATCCGCCTACAAGTTGTAAAGTCCTATTTTTAAAAAGTCTGCTTAATGTAGAAGAAGGAAACTGGAACACTCTATCACCATATACAAAAATAAACTCAATATGGATTAAAGACCTAAATGTAAGACCACTACTATAAAACTCCTAGAGGAAGACTTGCAGAACACTTGAACACTATTTGACATAAACTGCAGCATTATTTTTTTGATCCCTTCCATAAAGCAAAGGAAATAAAAGCAAAAATAAACAAATGAGACCTAATATAACTCAAGAGCTTTTGCAGAGCAAAGGAAACCACTAACAAAATGAAAAACAACCTACTGAATGGGAGAATATTTGCAAGTGATATGACCGATAAGGAGTTAAATATCCAATATGTATAAACATCTCATAAAACTCAACGTCAAAAAAAATTTGATTAAAAAATGAGCAGAAGAACTGAATAGACATTCTTCCAAAGACGAAAGGCAGATGGCCAACAGGCACATGAGAAGATGCTCAGCACTGCTAATCACCAGGGAAATGCAAATCAAAACCACAATGAGATACCACCTCACACCTGTCAGAATGGCTATCATCAAAAAGAATACGAATAACAAATGTAGGTGAGGCTCTGGAGAAAAGGGAACCCTTGTACACTGTTGGAAATGTAAATTTGTGCAGCCACCACCACGGAGAAGAGTGCGCAGATTCCTTAAAAAACTGAAAACAGACTTGCCACATGATCCAGCAATTCCACTCCTGGGCATATATCCGGAGAAAATAAAAACACTAGTTTGAAAAGATACACGCACCTCAATGATCACAGCAACATTGTTTATAACTGCCAAGATACGGAAGCAACCTAAGTGTCCATCAACAGACAAATGGATCAAGAGGATGTGGTATATATACACAATGAAACACTATTTAGCTTAAAAAGAGAAAAATTTTGGCATTTGCAGCAACATGGATGGATCTGGAAGTTGTTATGCTAAGTGAAATATGTCAAAGAAAGACAAATACTATATGATATTGCTTGAATGTAGAATCTAAAAAATACAACAAAGTAGTGAATATAACAACAAAAAAAAGCAGACTCACAGAGAGAACAAACTACTGGTTACCAGTGGTGAGGGAGGCAATAGAGAGGTAAAGGATTAATAGGTACAAACTATTAGGTATAAAATAAGCTGCAAGGACATATTGTATAGCATGAAGAATATAGCCAATATTTTAAAATAACTATAAATAGAGTATAATCTTTAAAAATTGTGAATCACTATATTGTACACCTATAACATATAATATATGTAACATGTAATTCTTCTCTTGGAAGAAGTGAGTATGTTCTATGGTTGAACAAAGACAAGTATGGATTACTTTTGTGGACAAAGGAAGAAATCTTTGAGTGGACTGTGAGAAGACCCTCTAGCTGCCACCTCATACCTGTTCTCTTTTTCTTCTTCAATAAGAGAAGTTTTAGCTGAGCCTAAGGTAGCTCAAAAAAAAAGAGACCACCTTCTCCAAACTTTTGTTGCAGAAAAGGGTGGTCGTACAGCTATATTCAAGCCAAAAGGATATGAATAGAAGAAATATATGTTAAATTTCTGAGTCATCACCTAAAAGAGAATCAGTATGCCCTCCATTTTCTATTTCCTCCCTTTGCTTAGGGGTGAGCCATCAGCCTTGGAAACTAGGGAGACAGTCCATCCTATATCCTAACCAATATGCACGTATTTACTTATGACAAAATCACATCTTACATTTCTGTTGATAATATTTATACCTCTATTACTCCTGTAGAAACCTAACCATTTTTATTAGTGTTTAATAAGAGTACTAGAAGTCAGATAGTTAACTTGAAAAGATATCTTTGAAGAAATTAATTTTGAACAGTTATGAAGAAGAGGAAGGCCAAGAGGTACTAAAAAATAAAATACAAATGTGAAGTTGTCAAATCAAATAGCTGATAGTTCAAATCAGCCATAGGTGAGAAAAGCAATAACACATCTGAGCAAAAATGTCCAGAGGGGGAAAAAAATTAAAAATAATAAAACCGAAACAACACAACAAACAATTGGTAGAAAGTCTCAAAGGCTTAAATGCAGTGCAGAATTGATTAGAAAGTCAGAATAGAATCTTAATTTAGAAGTGTCAAGAAAAAAGCAACTTCTTAGTGAGATTATTCCTACAAATAGATAAAACAATGAGGAACAACTGGAAAAATGACAAAGTTTCAAAGATGGTGTAATAATAATCTAGGCTCTCCAAGCAGAAAGAAGGTATTTTACAGAGAAAAGTTGTAAAGTAGGTAGGCAGTTTCCTAAAGTGGTATACACTATATACAATATAGCTTACAATTAAGTAGATGATTAAATAGTAAACTCACAGTAGTGATTTTTCCTTTTCTCTTGACTGGAAGAAATGGGCATGCTCTGACTTGGAGATCTTTAATGGCAGCAGTCATTGTATTATTTTCAAAGTCACCTTTCCAACAAATTTCACATTGTGTTGTAATGACTAAGGCAGGAGCATCATTTCTTGTCATATCAGCCACAAACACAATTTCAGGATTTTTAATAAGGACATTAATTTCCCACTTCTCTGATTCCTGTATAGGCACTAAAATAGAAATTAAAACGTTTTAAAATAGCTATAAATATTTATTATTTATCAAAAATTATTATTTACAGGAAAACATTAAGCCTAAGTAAAAAGTAAAATGAAAAATCTTAGGTCCCAAAGGAATTTAGTGCAACTCTTTGAGTACAAGATTTGAAGAAGCTATAGCCATAGAACATTTTAAAATGTGGGGGAAAAAACTCCACCATTTAATGGCAGACCTGGAAATAAATCTAGTTTCCAATTCTCAGCTTGACAGTTTTCACTATACCACAATGAATGAAATATGTAAAAGATAGTAGAAAACTATAAATATAACAAAAATAAAAGAGGACTTTAAGTTAAAGTACTATCTTTAAATATGAGAAGTAGTGGCTGATTTGTTATTCCTTCTCCTTGATTACCTCCAACAAATTCTTTCAAAATACTGTCTTCAGAAAAGTACAATTACTTATTTTAATACAGATCTCATAATTTTTAAGCCCAATATATATTTACACCTTGAAAAACATGCAAACTGTATATCCTATCAGAAAATACATTTAAGTTTTCCTCTTAACCTCTGAAAAATAAAGATTTTTAACTTATTAATCCACTTAACTTCATCATCTAGAAGGTTAATCAAGGTAAGTGCTATTACAGCACTTTAATAACACAGATATCAAATATTTCAGCTAATAACTTACCTTCTTCTTTAGCAGGCCATGTTTGAACATTGGTTTCTACAGCAGTGCCTGTGGTGTAGGCCTCAAGAAAGACATTTGCAACGGTCAGGAGAAATTCTACACTTGCACAAATATACATTTCTTGAAGGACTAAATCAGCCACCCATCCGTCTCTGACTTTCCTATACCGTACATCCATCATGTCCTTTTTGTCAAACCCAACTGTCAGTCCTATCATTCTGAAAAAAACACCGTAATAACAATTCCTATGAGTATCTTACAAATAAACCAAACACATCAATAAAATTCAAAGATCTCTTATCCCCTTCATGGACAGCAAACCAGCACTCTGAAAGTCATTTCTCCAAGGAAGTTCACAGAGCACTCCAAACCACAGACTTACAGACTTCAAGAGCACAAATGTTTCATAAATTAGGAAGTACATCCTTAAGAAATTATCAGAATTTTCAATCTCAGCATATTTTTTCTTCTCAATTTTTCATGTTTCCCATTACAGTTTGCATGGATTAATAATTTAGATAATACAGATTAACTTAAAAACCAATTTAATTGTATTGATCATTTCTATTTACCCAACCAATCAAACACTCAGTAAGAAAAGCACATAACTGAACCAGGGTATTTTATGAGACTGATGCGCTGCCTGCTGTGCTAAGAGGGCAGATTGAACCAGGGTATTTTAAATGTTGACTTAGAACCACGGACTCAATTGCACTGAATCTCTGAGGACCTTAGGATGTACCCAGAAAATGAACATGCAACGTTGGGAACAAATTCTATAAAATATATCAACCATTTCTCAAGTAAAATCTCAGAACACTATTACCTAGGAGTCGCCTTCTTGACATGAGGCCTTTTGTCATCTAAAATACAGTTCTTTAATGAGAAGGAAGAAAACGTTGAGTCATCTGTATACATTTTTAAAGTACTTATAATATTCTCCAACTTAAATTCAGCAAGATTCAGAGAAGGATCACGAATATCTGTAAAGGAAGTCTGTGGAAGAGGAAATCAATCAAAATTTGACACAAAAACAAATGTAAAACACGTTTTAAGATATAAACTACCACATTCTATATCTCCAAAGTGCTCATAATGAAAGGCAAAAGAATATTAACTTTAATTAAAAATTTATTCTTCATATCACTGGCTATAGGAAAGATAATTCATTTTAAAAGGGAAATGGTTAAATTATTTTATTATTAAAGCAAAAAGATCAGTAACTTTTCTGAGGAACAGATATACTCCAAAATATACATGAAATACTCACAAATGCTATTTTAATAGACATTCGCCTATATAATTTTCACCAAGTGAAAATATATTTTCTTTTCTTCTTCAACTGACCTGTTTAGGACCCGGACTATACAGCGCCATGGTAAGATAATCAGTTTTGAAACTCATATTTAGTGTTGTCTTAACTTGAGAAGGACGTGAATGTACTTCCACCACAGCAGCTGTCACTACAGTTGTTCCTTGGAAAAATTAAAGTTATTGGATAAAAGAAAAAAGTCAGATAGTGGAACTCACTAAAACAGCGTTGAAATAGATTTAAGTGAATTATTAAATAAATGGGTATAATATAATGTTTTTCAAAAAACTTTTAAGGTTTAACAATTTAGATGTTGAACTCACTAACTCCTGGCTTAGCATTCATTACATAAAAACATGGGAGTATTAATTAAGCTCTTGGTTTATTGTTAAAAAGCTCTTGGTTTAATTTTTGTAAAATGGGAATAAGAGAAGTAATCACTGAGTTTGTTTCGCAAATTAAGCAAAATAGCATGTATAAATCGTGTACTAGAGTATGTGGTATATGAGTTTGGAATTTAAATTTTATTTCAAAAAATAAAACCAAACAAGATAAACTAGATGACATTTAGAAAAATCATTCCACTAAGCAAAAGGATCCAAAATTTAATTTTCTCTAAATTTTATATAAACAACATATTATATACACATGGTATGTATTAAATGGACATATAATAAAAACACAGCAATTGCTAATTCTTGTTTTACCTGACTCCAGAAACAAGTACCACCATGCCAGGTAGCTTATTTTTTTACTTTAGGCAAAATTTGTATCAGTGAAATACACAGATCTTATCTGAAAAATTCAATGAGATTTGATGAATGTGTACATTCATATCATTAACACTCCAATAAAGATACTGAACATTCGTATCACTCCAGAAAGTTCCATTTTTCCTACCATTCTAATTTCAATCACCTTAGATGAGTTTTGTTTGTTCTTAAATTCTGTATAAATGAAGTAATATATCATACTCTTTCATGTTTAGTTTCTTTCAACTGACATGTTATTTTGTTTCAGTAGCTCATTCTTTCTGATGCACTCTGAAAATGCATTCTATGAAAATACATAGTATGAAAAATAAACAATTCATCTATTCTAGTATCAAAAAACATATGGGTTATTTCCAGATTTGAGCTATTATGGATAAATCTGCATATATTACAAGGTAAGTAATTTTGTGTACATATGCACTTACTTTGGAGTGGGGTGTGGGTAAAAACTTAGGCCTGTAATTGCTTGTTATAGAGTAGGTGTATATTAATTGCCAAACTCTCAAAAATAGTTAATACTATTTCACATTTCTGACAGCAATATTTGAGAGTTTCAGCTGTTTCACATTCTCATTAACATTTGGTGGTGTCAGTCTTTTAAACTTTAGTTTGGTAAACTGAAGTTTTCCTGAAAAATAACTGTATTAGCACCTTTTCATGAGCTTATTGTCCATTTAACATATCTCTTCCCAAGTAGCCAAATCTTCTGGTCATTATTTCGTTTTTTTAAAAAGTCCCTAATTTCAAGGAGTTCTCATGTATTCTAGATAAAAGAATAAGGTCAGATACATGTATCATGAACGTGTCTCCTAGTCTGAAGCTTAACTTTTCACAATCTTAATACTATCTTCTGATGAGCAGAAGTTTAACATTTTGAAGTCTACTTTATAAAGTTTTCCTTTCATGATTAGAGCTTTTGTATCTACCCAAGAAATCTTTGGCTATCCTATGAAGATATTCTTTCATGCTTTCTTCCAGAAGTTTAAAAGTTTTTGCTTTCAAATATATGCCTTTTATCCATCTCAAATTAATTTCTGTGTATGATGTGAAGGGACAAGGTTCAATTTTTCCTACATTTACCTAGTTGCAACAGCCCCATTTGTTAAAAAGTTCATCCTTTCCCTATTGTCTAGTCCTTGTTGAAAGTAAGTTTACTTGTATATCTTCTCGACTTTCTATTCTGTTTTACAAATCTATTTTTCTATGCTATGCTATTTCCATACCGACTTAATTATTGAAGATTTACTATAAATTGTGAAATTCGAGAGTGTATGTCTTTGTTCTTCTTTCTCTGTATATATAGTGTATACACAGATATATATACATACATACATACATACATATATGGCTCAATCCTTAGCATTTCTATATAATTTTTTAAGTAATTTTTCGATTTCTGTTAAAGTTTGATTGGGATTATGTTGAATCTATGAATCAACATGGTGAGAAGTGACATTTAAACAATACTGAGATTTTAACAATGAGATTTTTCAATGCACAAACATGGCATATCTCTTCATATATTTAAGTCACTTAGTTTTTCTTATCAGTATTTGGTATTTTTCAGTGTAACAGTCTCATAATTTCGTTAAACTTCTTCCTAAGTATATTATTTTTTGACACTATTGAAAATAGTTTTAATTTTATTTCTTAATTGTCACTGATACAACTGATATTTATATATTAACATAGTATCTTGTTAAAAATGCTAAATTGATTTCTTAATTCTAGGAATTTGTTGAAGACTTCTTAGGGTTTTCTATGTAGTCAATATCACACTTAGAAAAAGTAACACTTCCTAATGCATTTTAGAAAGCAAGCATTACCCTGGTACCAAAAACCAAAACAGAAAAAGCCACTTCAAGAAAAGAGCATCACACACAAATATCTCTCATGACACAGCTATAAAAATTCTTAACAACATAATTAGCATGCTGTGTTAGCATAATTAGCTTTTTGGGGGGAGATCCCAACTTTTCTATTTTCCCTATACGCAAAACAAAGTAAAAGAGATAATACAGGATTAAACTACAAAAGCATTTAACCGGTAAAACACACATACACAAAAAAAATCTGGATAGGAAGAAAAGCTTATTTACAATGAGGAAACATGTAAATTAAGGTAGTTTGTAGTTTTCACATGAAACATTAAAAAGAAAAGTCAAACATATGCTACATGGGTGTCACTGTTTACAGTAACACTGAAGGAGAGAAAACAACACTTATTTAGGGACAGATTACCACAAAGTCCAGATTTTATAGCATCAGTGCAATAAATTCAAAAAACTATATTACAGCCAGTTAATCTATTTAATTCTGATATTTATCATTCATTTTCTCTCACCAGTCTTGCTAAGAATTTATCAATTTTTATTAGTCTTTCCAATGAAAATGATTTTTCACTTTGTTATTTTTTCTACTGTTTGTTTCTTTTTCATTGATTTCTACTGTTTTCTGTATCACTGCCTTTATTTTTAGTTTGATTTGCTCTTCTTCTTCTAGTTTTCTGAAGTGAAAGATTTGATCTTTGATTTTTAACTCTTATTCTTTCCCAGTACAGTCCTTTATGGCTCCAAATTTCTTTCGGCACTGCTTTAGTTGCATTCCACAACTTTTGACATGTTTTATGTTCATTATCTTTCAGTTTAAATAATTCTCTGATTTTCCTTCTCCTTTGTTTTTGGACCCATCTGTTATTTCAAAATTATTTAATGTCCAAATATTTGAAGCTATTTAGACATCCCATTACTACTGATTTCTAACTTAATTCCATTTGGTCAGAAAACCTTATGGCCCCCCCAAATGGTTTATTTTTGTGAATATTCCAGAAGTCCTTAAAAAAAAGTGTATTCTGCAATTGTTGAGTGAAGTATATTAATGTTAACTAGGTCAAGCTTGTTAACAGTATTCAAATGTTCTATATTTTGATTTCTTTTGTCTATAGTCTGTCAATTAACTAAGAGTGATGTGCTAAATAATCTACTATGATTTTGCATATGTGTATTTATTTCCTCCTCTAGCTGTCAATTTTTGCTGAATATATTCTGAAGCTGTTATTAGTAATACACATCTAAATTTATTTCATTTTATTTGTGCATTAATTCGTTCAAACTTATTTAAAAAAACTTGTAAAGAGAAATTTATGAGACAATCAGGAAAAAATATGAAGTTAACTAGATTTTTTGAAGTTAACTAGATATTTACATGTTTTAAAGGGAGTATTGCAAATGTTTTAGGGGTGATGATGTTACTATGACTATATTCAAAAAGTAAAGTTCACACTGCTTATAGATGAATAGTAATTAAAGGTGTAACATATGAAATTTGCTTTAAAATTATCTAGTGGGCTGGGAGTTGGGGGAAGAAAAAGAGGAGAATTTTGGCAGTAATAAAAGCAGCCACATGATACTAAGTGTTGAAATTGGGTAATGGATACCTGTAGGCTCATTACCTTATTCCTTCTACTTTGATGTACGTGTAAACATTTCCAGAAGAAAAGGATTAAAACAGTAATATATTTAAATGTTTATTTTTTCCATCCATTTTAGACATTGGCTTTATACTCCTCTCTACTTAAATCCTTATCATTTCCTCTACCTGTCCCATCTTCCTCTTTCCAACTTTGGTCATGTATGTCATTATTTCTACCTTAACAGTTAACAACACTTACATACTTATTTACATAGTAAGTCTTGCACGTGTTGTTTAACTATGGCTATGTAATAATTTTAAATTAAGAGACTAATAGCTTATTATACTTCTGCTGCTGCTACAACATCACAACTTGTGTATCTCTCAAAACAGCAGAGAGAATCTCTTCACACATTCTAAAGATGGCTCAAAATCATGCAAAATTTAGTCCACTTCACTTCTGTACCAGAATATATAGTACAGATTTCTCCCTTCTTAGGAACAGAATACATGTCTTCCTCACCCATATAATATAGCTAATTAATTCCTCATTCTCCCATTTCACTTACGTAGTATAATTAACTCATTCGACATATTACATAGAATTTATATATTTTTCTTCTTTAAGACATTCTTCCCTTTTTTTCTTAAAGCATTCTGAATTCCTCTTTCCCAAGTCCTTCTAGCCCAGTAACACAGATAATTTTGGGATTCCTTTTTAATGCCCTCCTGGGTAAGTCTATTGTTTTTGGATCTTATGTTTTCCTATTTCCCGGATTCCTTGTTTGCTTTGCTAGAATATATTTTCAAACTACCAGCATATGTGAAAGATACTGCAGGTTCAGTTCCAGACCAATGCAATAAAATCAGTATCACATCAAAGCGAGTCACACGAACTTTTGATTTCCCAGTACATATAAAAACAATGTTTACACTATACTGTAGTCTATTAAGAGTGCAACAGCATTAAGTCTTAAAAAATGTACATGTATTAAACATAATTTTATTGGAAAAATGGCACTCAGACTTGCTCAAGTCACAGCTGCCATAAACCTTCAATCAGTTAAAAAAACACGGTATCTGAGAAGCGCAATAAAATGAGGTATACCTGTAATTTCTTCAGGAATGGGTAAAAGAAAGCAAACTTTGAGTCACTGGAAATCTGAATATTCTTTTCCCATTCGGATGTTGGTTTTGCCATCTATACACCCTTAACTTCAAAACCATCTTCCTTAGAAATTTGGCTATATTACTCCATTGTCTTTTATCCTCCATCCATCCCAACCCATCCCATCAAGTTTCACTAATGATAAGTCTGATTCCAGTCCCCTTTCTCCCAAGCCTCTAATAGGCATCTTGGTTTTTTCCTAAATTAAAAATTTTACCTTTGTTGTTATGACATTTCATAAAAATGTGTTTGCATAAGGAGCCTTTGATCGGCTTGAAACTTGGTAGATTATTTATATCCAAGAATTTGTTTCAATATTTACTTAGCCCTGGAGGGTTTTCTTCTATTACTTCTTTGTAAGAGTCTTCTCTTCCATTTTCTCAGTCTTTCTCCTAAAATATTTATTATTCTGGAATTGGACTTTTTGAACTAAAGCTCCATCACTCTAAATCATTTTCCGTTCCTGTTTTTATTTTTCCTCGATGTTACAGGAGATTAATATATTCAGTAATATATATATTACAACTCAGTACTCACATTCTAACCCCATGCTTAATGCAACTGTTTTGTTTTAAAGTTTCAGCAATCATAATTTTAGTTTCCAATAACTCTTATGTTGGGAAGGCAAAAGGTAGTGATGGTAGGATTCATTTTATATTCTCAAAATCCTCTGATTATGAGAGTTTGTTTTCTGTTTGTTCACATTCTCTCTTGTTCCCTCAATTATTTCTGATTCATTCAGGAAACACTATTCTGTTTATCTTGGCTGCTTTCACACTTAGGTTCTTATGATTTTCTTCATGTCTGACCATTAATATTTAACAACAAAGGACTGGGTTGGTTATTCTAGCTAGTAAGAATGGAATTTCCTATAATGTAATTAATGTAAGGTTGTTTCTGGGCTAGGATTCTGACTGAAAAAACTATGTAATATTTCAGGGCTTTACACATGAGTCTTGTGAACTAGTAAGTTTAAGTTTGAGGTAGGCAGGTTTGGGGTTCCCCCAAAATGCCAGAATGAGGAGAATTTTATTCTTACAAAGCAAAATCATCCCAGAAGTTCTAATTAACCCAATTTGCTGTATGTGCTGGTGCTCAACTTAGAACCTAGTCAGGGTTCCACATAGCAAATTAAATCCAACATTGGATGCAGTCTCCTTCTGAGTTACAGTTCCCTCTGTTCTATTCCATCCATCCATCTTTCAAATATTTGTTGAAATCCATCATTTACTAATAATCATCCTCTCTTGACACCTCTAATATTCTGATACTCCTAATATCAATATAAAATACTCCATCTGGAATATATGCTGCACTAGGAATAAGGGAGAAGATGGGGGAAGAGGAGAAAAATTGAAAATAAGGAATTTTAGGGAAGTTGAGATAAGATAAACATATACTAAGGAATTTTGTTACAAGACTAGGAATTTTGAATTAAGAAAAAAGTCAACAGAATGAATAAACAAATTAGAAATACCTGAACGGAATTAGCTAAATAGAAAAGATATATAAATCTTAGTTTACCCAAAACTAGAACTAGGGGGAAAGGAAAGAAGGATAGAAGGAAAGAAAAACTGGGGGGTGGGGACTAATTTAAGGTTAAGAACATACCTCCTGTACGGTGTGAAGCATGAGTAATTCCACTAGTAACACTAGACTGATCTTTTATTCCTGCATTTGAGGCACTACCACCATCTTCATACCATATATTGCCATATAATGTTTTAAAAATAATTGTTATATCTTCTTGACTAAGAATGAACTGTTAAAAAAAATAAGATTTACCCATTTTAACATAACTATTTCATGTAGTTAAAAATTTTCATACAAAAAAAAATGACTTTCATGTCAAACCTTTACAAAACCAAACTTTAACATATCAGACAATTCTACTAACTGAACAGTGCATTTTCTAAATGATCATGTGTATTTAGTAGCTTTTAAAATACAGAACTAAATTAAATACCAATACCAATGAAGCTATGAATGAACTTTTTTGTCATGAATGTAGCAATTAACCTACTAATTTTAACCTTTAAAATGAACTTCTATATTTTAATTATTATTGTAGCTGCTTTGTACTTTTTGGTTAGTAAGCACCTCGATTTACAAATATAGAATAATCAAAAATAATAAACTTATATAGTGGAAAATATTTTACAGTATGTTTTACATGAATTATTTTAGCTGAACCTCATAAAACTCCTAGGTGTAAAGAATATAACTCTGATTTTATAAGCTGAGGCTTAAATGATGACGTATCATGCTTAAGTCCACTTAAAGAACTCAACACATTAACTCAAAACTCCGTGAGTTTCAAATTTAGACTAAAATCTTTAGACTAGCATAAGACTCGTCTTAAAAACTATGATTAATTTTATAGCAACCTGACTGGGTCGCAGTATGTAACTATTTGGTCAAATATTATTCTAGATGTTATACAAATGATACGTATTATATATGCTATATAAATATATATGTATTTTATATGTCTGTCTGTCTGTCTATCTATCTATCTATCTTCAGAACATCTACAAATGCCCAGCTGCCTTCTGGGACAGACCCTCTAGAAAGAAATTGAGTCTTTCCCTATCAACAAGATTCACATGAGTATTAAGCAGCTGTTGCAGCCCACCTTAGGGGACCACATGTTTGACCCCTACTGGACCTCAACTTCAGGGTCAAGGAGAGGTTAAAATCGAGTCTTCAATAAGTCATTCTAATGCATCTAGATCAAGGATTTACACACTCAAACACCGTACTGGTTCTATTTCTCTGGAGAACTCTAATACAACAGCAATTAGGTAAAAAAACAAAAACAAAAACCTACAGTTTTAAATTGATATGTTTACTGAACTCAAGGGGATAACTTTAATTCCACAAAATTTACCAGTTTTATTTGCATCAGGCTTCCTTTGATTGCATTCTGAAGGTGATAAACTAATCTAGTGTTTTAAGATTAATTCCTTATTCATGCTACTTATGTTTTTTGTTTTTTAAATTTTCATTTATTCATGATACTTATTTTGTGATTATTACATAGCAAGTATTTCAAAAACAGTATATTCACATAAATTAGGATGAAATTAAATATTAAAACTTCTAAACTATGTCTTTCAATTAGTACATGTATGCTGAATACCCCCCAAATACTGACATTAATCATCACTCTTCACCCTTGCCAACAGCTCAGCATAGGAAGCTGGACCAAAGGAATGCTGGTCTGTGGCTTCTGTGTGTCAGAACGGACTGTGTGTGCTATCCCCAAATTTCTGACAAATCAGAAATCACAAACTGCAGCACTCAGGCTAGATGCATCAGAGTAACTGATTCCAACCTCTCTGTGATACACAGGATGATGTCTAAGTGGGTTCGTATATGTGAAGCTGGGGACGGGCTACAACAGCTGCTAACTATTGAGGTAGATCAGTGTAGGGAAGACCCTATTTGATCTGCCCTGGAAGGCAGCTGGACATTTGCAGATGGTCTGCATCGTCATCTGAACATTCTGCATGGATTCTCCCTGGAGAAGAGTGAAAGAAAATGGTGTCCCAGCTGTGCCACACAACTCTGCCTAATGACAGGGCCCAATGGGGAGAGGATTTGCTCAGTATGCTGTGTGGAGCATGCTACTTATGTTTTGTAATTTTCTATCTGCCATCTTACCAATATAAAGAGACATCAATTATTTAAGAAGGTATTGTCCATTTTTAAGTTAAGGAGTCCATATGATCTTATACACTAGAGTTTAAAGATTTTCAGTTGAGATCATCAGGTTTTATGTTCTAAATACATTTTTGAGCTAAAAATATGAAATCTTTAAAATGACAGCTTTCTCTTTTTGAATACAATTTTTATAGAGAGAAACAGAAAGGGAAACTGAGGAGCAGAGGGAGGAAGAGAATTTGTTAAGTAGATTTCTTAAAGAAATCTTCCAGAAATAATACAAATAGCTACCACTTCAGCAAAGCATATGATACAGTTTTGACTTCCATCCAGTCAAGAGGGAAAAATATGAACCTGTGGACAGTTACATTAGAGATTCGTGAAGCAAAATCAACCAGTAGGGAAGTAAAGTTAATGCCTTTGTTACTGACTCATCAGCCATTTTCATCTTCAACCTCTCTATTCTTCTAGGACCTTTCCTAGGTTATTTAATATATTCCCACAGCTTTAAATACCATCTGTAATATGATGACTTCCAAATTATTACTTCCAGCCTAGACCTCTCCACTAAGATCTATATTAATATATCTAACTACTGTAGCACCATGTCTAACATTTGGTTCCTTCATGGAATTTACCACAATTTATAACTATTTTAATTATGTACATGTGTACTTTTTCTTTTTTTTTTTTTACTGTCTGTCACACCTGTGGACCACCACCATCACCACCAACCCCTGCATTACACTGTTAAGTTCCATGAAGTCAGAGACAATGTCACAACTTCTTTGCCACAGTTCTCCAATATCTAGTACAGGGTCTAATACACAGTTGGCACTCAAATATTTGTTGACTTAATGAAGAACACTCAATGAATTCTAGGTTTTGTAGCTACTATTTCATTTCTGACCAAGGTAATATATAACCAAGACATGCAAAATGTCTTATGCCCTCAAGCAATATTTCTTAATCAACAAAACAGAAATCAATAAGCATCCAAAAGTTACCTCCATGGGCTTTAGATGAGCATTTACATTAAAACAAGGAACTTCTTGATACCACTCCCAGGATAAATTTCGCTCAACAATCACCTCAAGATTTAATGGCAGTAGAAGATCCAGTACATCCTGGTATGCATCATTAATAAATTGAGTCCTATAAGTAGAAATAAAATTGTTTTGAATAGTTTCTAACATAATCAGATAGTAAAAAATTAATCATTTCACATACAAATAGTAGAAGTCAATAACTGGTTGTGAAGAGAAAAATAAAATTGAATAAATTTTCCATGTCAAAATGAGATGTTCCATCCCACTAGAAACCTCAGTAATTTTCTGAGCTGAAGTGCTCCATATTGAAGAAAAATGAATTTTTAAAATAGGACTTTGCAATATGTTAAAAACTGCCAAAATATACCAGTTGGACAACTAACTCTTAAAATAAGATTTCTCTCTATATAATCTATAAACATACATTATATAAGACTTTATTATAAAAACATTTAAAGTCACTGATTTACATATATAGCAGATTACCACACATCCCCTTAATTTATGAGAAATACACACGATGGAATACTACTTAGCCATAAAAAGAATAAAATGCAAATTGCAGCAACATGGACAGATCTAGAGGTTTTCATATTAAGGGAAGTAAGTCAGAGAAAGACAAATATATGATATCACTTATATGTGGAATATAAAAAATTAGAGAGGGGAAAGATACATATTTTCTTTATAAACCAGAAATATACTCACGGACACAGAAAACTGTGGTTACTGGGGGGGAATGGGAAATAGGGATAGATGAAGAGTTTGGGATTAACAGATATACATTACTATATATAAAATAGATAAAGAACAAGGACCTACTATATAGCACAGGGAACTATATTCAATTTCTTGTAATGAGTTGTAATGGAAAAGAATCTAAAACTATGTATATATGTATACGTATAACTGAATCACTTTGTTGTACACCTGAAACTAACACTGTAAACTGATACATCTCAATAATAAGAATTTTTAAAAATCACAATATTAAAAATATAAAGTGGTATCACAAAAAAAACAAAGGAGTTACAAGGATAGATTATACAACCCAGGAAATATAGCCAATATTTTATAGTAACTATAAGTGGAGTATAATCTTTAAAAATTGTCAATCATTATACTGTACATCTATGTCTTATATAATATTGTATGTCAACTGTATATCAATAAAAATTCAAGTCCGCATATAAAACAAACACAAGAGGTTTTTAAAAATGTACAATATAATTCATACTTTACTTAAACATATGTGCAGATATAATGAAGTAGAAAAACATACCAAATTATTAATAGTAGTTATCTCTGGGTGGTCATATTGTCAGCAGTTTTTATGTTCATCCCTAATACCATTTTATGTATTTCTTCAATTAAAAATTAATTCTTTTTTGGACATAAAAATAATACATATTACTATTTAGTGCTCTATAAAAATTTAGTGAACTCTTTTAAAAATAATCTATTTGTAATACAGACTCACATCTAATTCATATCAACATCATTTCTTAAAGTCAAACAAGATGTAATTAAATATAGATGTATAAATATTCTATTGTTAGTAAACTCAAAATTTTACATAGTATAAACTCCAAGTCAATGAGCCATCAAAGCTTAAAATTATTACTATGTACCTACAGCCTATTATTAAAATAGAAGTCTCTCACCTCAGTATTTCCCTGTAATTTCTGAAATCTCTAGATTTGATTGAACATATCATACTATACTTTCCAATGTCTTCACTAAATTTATTATTCATTTCTTATCTTAACTGAAACCTAGCTTTCCATGAAGCTCTATTAAAGTCTGATTTCTCTCCAACACCTTACCTACCTCAGAGTTCAGAGACAGAAACCATTTTTCTTAATTTGAAATGATGCTCCTCCACTCTCACGTCTATTCCTTTAAGAGTAATACCATCCGTGTTAACCACCTTCTATTTTTGCTATAATTTATCAACAACGAGTGAGTGCTCATTTCTGAAGACTCTGAGACTATTGAATCTGCAGTCTATAAATCACTCTCTACATTCGTTTACTCTATCAGTATCCTCTTATCTTCAACTTCTGTCCTCTCCATTATCCATCAACATGACTTACAATATTTAAAATCCTGTCCCATTATCTTCAGTCATAACCACTTGCTAAAAACTGTCTTTCCTGAATCCAACTGACCGTTGGATTTCAATACCAAATATCAAGTACTGCATGAAAAAAAAATCATACACTGTTAATTCATGGTTTACAACATCAATGTGACCTTCAGTGCTGCCTCAACACATTCTCCTGGTTTCCTTCCTATCTTTCTGCTTGCTCCAACTTAAACTCTTCTGAGGATTTCTTTTCTGCCAGTTCCTTAAATGTTGACATTCCTCAGCACTCTGTTTCACCATGTCCCACTCTACAAATTCTCTGTGTGATCTTACTCACTTTGATGGCTCCTGTAACTAGCTAAATACTATTAAGGATGCCTAGATCTAGAAATCTGAATACTCTCCTAGTATCCAGACACGTATGTTCAGATGTGTTCCAAATCTGGTTCTATATAACTTCATGTATAAGTCGTGTAATTATTTTCAAGTTACTTTGCCCACTGGAGAACTTGTTAGTATCACCACTCTACTATTTTTTTTTTGCATTACTCTGTCATAGTTCACTGAACTGTATTATTACCAAATACTGAGGGTTTTTTTTATACAAACCTGCAACCTGGAGTCAATTTTAACTACTCTCTTTTAACCATGACACACATTTAATAATGCTACCTTTAACTCTACTTTTCAAATTTCTCATAGCTGCTTAGTTCTCTACTATCTCACTTCCTTATCCTACACTGAGTCACATGTAATTCTTATGTGAATAAACCATTCTTCCAATTTCCAACTTTGTCTCCCTTTTGACCTACTTTCTACAACCTTCCCAAATCTAAATGTGACCCTGTTTTTATGCATCAGCTGATTAAATTCATTAAATAGTACCTACCTCAACAATCCAATGAGGTAGGTACTATTTATTCATCCCTTGTAAAGACTGCTTACTATTGTACTACATATTCCTAACACTATGCCTGGGGTATATTACATGCTAATAAATACTCAAATATTCAATGAAAATTTTCCCTTCCATCTAAGATAAAATAACATGAATCAGATTTACCCTCCTACCTGAAACAACTGCTCCCTACCCTCCAAACACACATATGCAAAATATATAAAAAAAGTTTTCAAGACACAGGACATCAGGAAGTCAACAGTGATTACTGAGACACAAGAAATAAACAGGATGAGCACTTTGATTGCCCCAACTTCAACAGGTCATGGAAAAGAGGGACGGGGGAGGATAAGCCAAGAAATAACCAGTAAAGTCCATGAGTTGAGAAGACAGAGCTGAGAGTTCAGGGAAACTAAGGCAGGTAGAGCTCACATGATCAAGTGCCAGAGAGAAGAGAGCTACAAAGAACACCAAAATGTTAGCACTAAATATCTATATTAGAAATGTTCAAATCAATAATCTGATCCACCACCTAAGAAACTTAGCAAAATTAAACCCAAAGAAAGCAGAAGGAATGATATCACAGCAGAAATCAGTGAAAGAGAAAAAAAACAAGAGAAAAAACAAAAGCTGATTCTTAAACACATTAAATAAATAAATAAGCTGGTTGTTTAATAATAAAACTGGACTATCAAGGATGAATAACCAGGGAATGGCAAGATAGAGGAGAGGGAAGACTCCAAGATCACCGTCTCCCAAGGACACACCAACATTACAAATATTTACAGAACAACTACCGATGAGAATGACCTTAAGACTAGTAGAAAGCTCTTCTGCAACTAAAGATACAAAGAAAGAAGCACAAGAACACAGGAGGGAGGAGTGCAGACAGGGTATAGTACAGAACCACACACCCAGGTAGGCCACAAATGAGAGGCTAACTACAACTGCAGAGGTTCTTCCCAAGGAGTGAGGGGTCCAACCCCTAACATTGGACTGCCCAGACTAGAGTTCCCAGAATTGCTTTGAGGGTCAGTGGAGCATATTTTTGGGAGAGTCAGAGGACTGTAGGAAACAGAATCCACTCTTAAAGGGTGCACACAAAATCTCTCATGCTCTGAGACCAAGGGAAAAAAGTAGTAATTTTAAAGGAACCTGGGTCAGACTCACCTGCTAAGGGCCTCCCAGAGAAGGAGGAGGCTACTGGGACTCACCCTGGGGACAAAGACCCTGGCAGCAGCCACTTTTGGGTGCTCATTCAACCACAAGGACAAGGCTGCAGGCAAGTACCATTCTGGAATCCTCCCTCTAGCTCATTAACACTGGGACCCTGCCCAGCCCACCAGCCAGTAGGCACCAGTCCTGGTGCCTGGAACATCCCATAACAAGTCCTGGAACATCCCATAACAAGCAGCTAGCCAAGTGTTGACACAACCCTACCCACCAGCAGGCCAACTCCCTTATGATCCAGCCCTGCCCACCTGTGTGCTGACATCAGCTCCAGAACCACAAGGCTCCTCAACAAAAGATCACAAGACCGAGCTCTGACCACCAGTAGGCTGGCACCTGCTCAAGGACATGACCTCACCCACCAGTGGGTGGGCAACAGCCTTGGGACTGGTAGGCCCTGACCCTGCCCACCAGTGGCCCAACAATGGGACACCCTGAACAATGCAGCCAGCTTTGTCTGGTACTGGCGCCACCCAGCAATTCCACTCCTGAATATTTATCCAAACAAAATGAAAACACTAATTTGAAAAGATATATGCACCCCTAAGTTCACTGCAGCTTTATTTATAATTGCCAAGATACAGAAACAATTTAAGTTTTCATCAACAGATGAATGGATAAAGAAGATGAAATACACACACACACACACACACACACACACAAATGGAATATCACACAGCCTTAAAAAATAATTAAATCTTGTCATTTCTGACAACGTGGATGGACCTAGAGGGTATTATGTAAAGCGAAGTAAGTCAGACAAACAGATAGAAAGAAAACTACTATATGATCTCACTTGTATATTGAATTTAAAAACCAAAACAAAGGAATAAACATAACAAAAAATAAGTGAGATACAGAGAACAAACAGATGCTTGCCAGAAGGGAGAGGGGTGGGGAGAGGAGAAAAATAAATGAGGGAGATTAAGAGATACAAACTTTCAGTGTCAAATGAGTCATGGGTATGAATGTACAGTGTGGGGAATATGGTCAATAACTATCCAATATGGTTGTATGGTGACGATGGGAACCTAGATCTATCAAAGTGATCATTTTGAAATGTATAAAAATACTGAATCACTACGCTGTGTGACAAAAACTAGCATAGTTCTGTAAGTCAATTACCCTTCAAAACAAATGAACAAACAGAGAAAGAAGTAAGATTTGTAGTTACAAGAGGGTAGGAGGCAGGAAGTAGGAGGGAGGACTTGATGAAGGTAGTCAAAAGGTACAAACTATCAGTTATAAGATACGTAAGTACTAAGGATAAAACATACAACATGATAAATATAATTAACAATAGAAATTGTTAACAGTAAATCCTGAGTTCTCATCACAAGAAAAAATAGTTATTCCATTCTTTTAATTTTGTATACATATGAGATGATGGATGTTTAATGAACTTACATGGTAATCATTTCATTATGTATGTAAGATGTAAGTCAAATCATTATGCTGTACACGTGAAACTTACATAGTGCTATTATGTCAATTATATCTCAGTAAAACCAGAAGGAAATAAAAGAATGGATATCCAAGTGTGCCATAGGGAAAAAAAAAGATCGATGAAACTGACAAACCTCTAGCCAGACTGATTAGCAAAAAGGTATAAATTATAAATATCAAGAATGAGGGAGGTAACATCAATACAGATATTAACGAGAAAGAAGGGAATATTATGAACTTTATGTCATAAAACTCTACAACTTAGATGAAATAGACATTTCTTGAAAAAATTAACAATGATCACTCAAAAAATAAATAATTTGAATAACCTTAAGTTTATTAAAGAAATGGAAATCAAAGTTAAAAACCTCCTACAAGGATATACTAGCCCCAGATGGCCTCACTGGTGAATTCTACCAAATATTTAAGGAAGAATTAACACAACTTTACTCTTACTATCACAAATGTATGCATGTTAAATTTATCAAACTATATACTTTAAATTTATGCAATTTATCACATGCCAATTATATCTCATAAAGCTGCTTTAAAAATATTCAACTGATGGAAAGAATAATGGGAGGGAGACAGACCTGCCAGAGGCCAAAGAAAAGCAACAAAAATAAAAGGGGAAAAAAAACCCAACACAATGAGATCAAAGAAAGATTACAGGAGGAAAGAAAAGAGCAAGTGAGAGGTTTAGAGATGAATCCAAGTTAAAAAATGAATAAGGCATTTAAATATAGAATAGATGATTAAAAATAACATAATAAAATTCTGGAACTACCTAGATATTCACTTATGTCTAGTGAATATATAAGATTAGACACTACTATGTGTGTGTTTAATTAGTATGTCAGATCCACAGCACAAAACTGATAGAATACTTCAGGTAATACTGTATTCGCAGGGCAAATAAGTATATTAGAAAATCTTGCATTTCTTCCATAACCTTATAATTTATAAAGAACTACAAATAAATACAAATATACTGCCTCAGGTAATAAATTTTAGTGTTCCTAATTACCTAATGACTAATTTTCCAAAACTGTCTAGGTTTTTAAAAACTAGAAACCTATAATTAATCTTGCCAACAAGTATTTGGGAAAGAGAATCACAAAATTAAGCACAGTTATAATAAAATTCCACTTTAAACAGAAAACTCAGGATACCAAAGCCTTTAATGTAAAAAGACAGAAAAAGATTGCCTTCTACATAAACATACCCATGAAAAGCTTACCTGTATAGTCGCATTTCACTCAGCTTTACTGTTATCAAATCAATAATGGGTGGGGGGTTGGTCTGGCTGTCTGTTATCACATGGAATGTATTTGTCATCGTAATTAGCCCAAAATCAGCAACAAAAACATTTTCAGAAACTGGAGACTGTGGGATAACCACAACTGGGGCTTTGATGTTAACATCCAATGCCATTCTAGAGCTCCTTTGTGCCAGTTCTTTCACACCAGTAGCAGCCCTTCCTGCTGCCTGAACAGTTGCCTCAGCCAAGGCTTGTTTACCTGCTTGAAAGTTATCTACAAAAGCCTATAAAGAAAATCAGAATTACAGTCTTAAGGCTACCATTAATGAATAAGATTATTAAATGTATATTGGTATTTATGATTTTATCTCAGTGAAAAAATTTTTTCTCTTGGTACAACCAAGCATTATTCAAAGTCTGACTGCCTATGTTAAACCTTAATTTTCTGTACTAAAGTTTGAGAAACACAAAGATCAGACACACAGTAAAGCAATACAAATCTAGTCCAAAGCAACAAATGGATATTGCAGTGCTTCATTGCTATCCATTTCCTTTATTGTCTCTTTCCCTAATGGCTAAACAGTCATATAGTATTTCCCTAAACAACCTCAATAGACAGAGAGCTTATTTATGTTTGTAGGACAGAACAATAATAAAATGGTGTCTGTCAATAATATAAAGATGTCTATCAATTAGACTAAATCTAAATCCCTCAAAGCCCTAGATATTCACAGAATCAGAATGCAACAGAAAATACGTTTTTCTTAATGATTACCCAAAACCAAACCAAACTTCAGTTGTGCATTTAGCAGTTTTAGAGCTGGAAGTCAGGTAGAACACTTAAACCAATCATGTATAAAATCAAGAATTCAATATACATAACATATGATACATAATATCCATATATTTAATGTTTATAAAATATACATTTCAGTTAACTAGAACATTCCCATGTGAAAATAATGTTATATAAATAATATACTATACATTTCAGTCACGATAAAAGGTAGCCAGAATACCTAGAAAAAGTCAGGAAAAAAATCAAGCAAGGAATTATTCTTCTTCATCTTTGCTTGATGCACAGTAATTTCCAACTAGAAAAGAATAAATGAAAAATTAACATACTTACCAGTATAGAATATAGAAATTTTGTGACGAAAACTACTTCAATGCAACCAACGGTTAAGTTAACTTGAACGTCAACCGCATTCATATCTGTGTATGCAGAACCAGCAGTCGCACCCATGTAAGAAATCATTTTGAAGCTGAAAACTTCTTTTCCAGTAATATAAACAGCCTTAATGAGAGAAAATTCAATTGTCAAATCCATTTTTGAAATGATATGTCTTTACTTCAAAAATAAAGCAAAAACAAAACATACCCACATACTTGGAAAATATTCTAAGTATTCAAGCCAGGTACAAACAAGACAATTCTAACTCCTTTATTAGAATCTACACTGCAAAGGTTTTCAAACTGGTGGTGGCAGCTCCCTTTCTGGGCCATACAATCAATTTAGTAGGTCTGGCACAACATATTTTTTCAATCGGAAAAACAGGAAAAAATGATCAGAATAGACATTTTCATTTAGTATGTACACTTGTGCACTGAGAACTGCCATATAAATGTATTTTTCGGTCAATGTCAAAAGTCTGAAAAACCCTGTACCTCTAAAACTTAATATAATCTGCTTGGTGTGATGTACGTATAGATTTTCCAGATCCTTCAAAGGAGTCTCTTCCTATCACTATACTTCTGTTCCTGATTATTTTGTGAAGAGTCATCTCAACTGTCAAACAAGAATTACCTACAGCAGTTTAATGTCCCAAATTCTGCAACCCCAGTTAAAAATGTTGGAGCTATCAGTAGATGTGAAACATCGAAAATATTTTGAAAGATGAACAGAGCACTCATTTAGTTTACAGCTTTCTTGACCCTCCTAAATGCTAGAAGCAATGTAGAGGGCTCAAGAGCCATCAATAAGCAAATGAATTCCAACCACAGAAAAAAGAAAATCTCAGGAATCAAAAATAGTTGTCTAAAGGCTGAGGTGTAAGATCAAACTAAAAAGAAGTCTATAAGAGTTCTGCTTCTGCCTAGGATGTAGAATGTTGGAGAGAGGGCCATTCCAAACCTTAAGAAAAACAAAAAACAGATTAACTATAAAATCGTAACTTTTGTTAAAATCATTAGAAATCTGAGGTCACAAGCCAACCAAGCAGCCTAAAATCCAAAGAAAAAAAGGTTACCTTCAAAAGAGACAGAATCTTGCGCACCAGCTCACCTGTGGTAAGGGAGAGGTGGAATGAGATGTCAGTTACCATATACGATATGTAAGAAGAACTCTGATAAAATGGTAAAGATTGACTATGAACTAACATATAGAATCCCTGGGAGCCACAGATACAAGAGGAGCTCATACTCAGCTGCAAGCACGTCACTATGAGCTCTCTGCTGGAAACTCATGAGAGACTGGGGTAGAGAAGGATTATCAGAGGAAGCCTCCCTTATTCCCCAAGGAGAGAAGCCTTCACTGCAGCAAAGGCCCAATGTACCACCAGGATTATTCTCTTAGGGCAAAAGCCTTAAGAAACTGGGGAAATGGCAGTAACCCTGCTGCCCTCAGGGCTCAGGTAAAGATACTACACCCAAGTGGCAAAGCTAAAACTTCCTCTACACCTGGGGGAAGAAACCCAGACCATACAGGGCATCTTCTACTGGAGCAGGAAAGGATATTCTCTCCCACACAGGAGCTACCAACAAACTGAGTCAAACGTCTTGGGAGAGATGAACAGAATCACCAAGAACGCCCCATTTTTGAGACCTGGAGAAACAGGCCTGGGTAGACTAAACCTGAACTAGGACAACTGACGAGCCTACCTAAAACATCTTCCTACTCCACCCCTACTTCCCTAAATACTCACTATCAAGGTAGCAAGCACTGAGAAAAAGCAGCAACAGACTCTTAACATCAAGGGAAGAGCTAACAGTACGGAAAGAGAACTTTCTGAGGTACGAGATTAGAGGGAAAGTCAAAAGCATGGCATGCAGCAGTCCTCCCCAACAAAGCCCCCACCCAAAGCACAGGACGTAGCTGAAGCAATGTGAAGCGGCGGGTTACTGAAGGGACACACGTTCAACAAGGAAAGGCAAACCTAGCTTAGCTCTCCATTAAACTGATTCAACCCCCTATACTAATGGGCTAGCAGAAAAATGAGGCATACCCACTTCCAGACATAAATACTGTTCACCTCAGTCTCTATTAACTTATATTATGTGTCTGACATTCCATCAGTAGTTAGGAAACATCCCAAAAAGCAGGAAAAAAATAAACAACAAAGGACAATCATCAGAACCAGACTTGCTTTTAACACAGATATTGAAACTTTCAGCCAGTGAATTTTAAATTATTATGATTAATATGGTAAATGCTTCTAGTGGAAAATATGAAGGAATAGATGAAGAATATGAGTAGATAAATGGAAAATAGAAAAGAGTCAAAGGGAAATATTAAAAATTGAAATAACACAGTAACATATGAATACCTTCAATGGGTTCATCAGTATATTTAACAGAGCCAAGGACAAAATCAGTGAGCTTAAAAGTAGGCCAAGAGAATTTATCCAAACTGAAACATGAGAAAAGAATGGGGGAAAAGTTGAACAGAGGATCCAAAGGTTGTGCGACAATCTCTGACAGGAATCTAATGAGAATTTTTGAAACCCAAGAGGAAGAAGAACAGGGAAGAGATAGAGACAGAAGAGGACAAAGCAGAGGATAGAGAGGGAGGATGAAAGCAGAACTATTTGAAAAGATATAAAAAATACTGAAAGATCCAAAAAGCTCAGAGAACTCCAAACAGGACAAATATGAAAACACACTTACATACACTCAGACACACCAAATTCTGAAGGAAGTCTGATAAAGATAGGAAATTACATACAATGGAGCAAAGATACATAGCTGACTTCTAATCAGAACCATGTATAACAAAAAATAGTGGAGTCACATTTTTAACAGTTTGAAAGAGGGAAAAAGTATGTGAACCCAGAACTCTACACTTAGCAAAAACATCATTCAGAAAATGAAAGTGAAATAAAAGCTTTACCCCACCGAGTTCCTATCCCTCCACCCTACAAAAGATGAAAGAATTTAAAACCAGTAAATATGCATTATAAGAAATGATAAAGTTCCTCAGGTAGAAATGAAAATACCAGAATTCTGAAGGTACGTGAAGAAATGATTTCCAGAAATGGTTAGAATGAAAATAAATGTATCTTTTGAGAAAAATTAATTGCTCTCAAGAAAACTGACTAAACCCAAATCAGTAGGTATGTATTGTGGATTTTCAGCATGCACAAAAGCAAAATGTATTACAATAATATTCTGAAATACAAAAAATAGAACTTGACAGTATACTGTTGTTAGATACACTACACTACATAAAGCAGTAAAATATTACTGGAAAGTAGACTGTGATTAAAAGTATGTATTGTAAACCCAAAGGAAATCATAAAATGAATGATCTACACCCAAAATGAGGTTTAAAAAAAGCAAGGGGCAATACAACAAACAGAATGAACAAAACAACTAGAAAATAGACAACCATTAGAGAGACAGCAGATTTTAATCAAACCATATCAAGAACAGGATTTTTTTTAAATCGCCTAAACACAAAATTAAAGTCACAGACTGTCAACTGGATAAAAAAGCAAAACTGGAGTATATGTTGCCTATAAGAACCCACTTTAAATATTTAGTCACAGATTAAAAGTTAAAGGATAGAAAAAGATACACCATGCAAACACTAAAGCAAAGAAATCTGGAGTGGCTGTATTATTATCAAAGTAGACTTCAGAATAAGGACAATTACCAAGGATGAGGAGGGATACTGCATGATGACAAAAAGGTCAATTTACCAAGAAGGTATACAAATCCTCTATGTGTATGCACCTAACATGGTATCCCCAAAACATATGAAGCAAAAATTGAGAGAACCAAAATGAGAAATAGACAAAATCACAGTTGAAACTTCAACAATCCTTTCTTAATAATCAACAGAACCAGTAAACAGAAAATCAGTAGCCTGAACAATTCTATTAACCAACTTACTTGCTCTAATTGCCATTTATGGAACAGTCAAACCAGTAACAGCAGAATAAACATATTAATTTCAAGTATACTTGAACATCCATCAATGTTGATTATGCATGTTCTGGACCATAAACATCAATAAGTTTAAAATAACCAAAAAAGTTTCTTCTCTGACCAAAATAAATTTAAATTGGAAATCAGTAACAGAAATATCTGAAGAGTCTCAAAATGTTTGGAAATTAAACAACCCACTTTTAAATAAATCATGAGTAAAAGATAAAGACATGTGAGAAATGAGAAAATATTTTTAATTGAATGAAAATAAAAATACAACATATAAAAATATATGGGTTGCAGCTAAAGCAGTGCTTAAAGGAAAATTTATAGCAGTAAATGCTTATATTAGAAAACAAGGATGATCTCAAATCAATAATCTAAGCTTCCATCTTAATAAACTAGGAAAAGAGCTAAAATTAAATCCAAAGAAAGCAGAAGGAAGAAAATTAAAAAGAGCAGAAGTAAATGAAATTGCAAACAACACTGAACTGAACCAAAAGCTGGATCTTTGAAAAGATTAATAAAATTGATAAATCTCTAGCTAGACTGATGAAAAAAAAATGAGAAAAGATAAAAATTAAAATCTCATATGCTAAGAACCAACCTACTACTACATACTATAGTTTCCCATTTATATGATATTCTGTACCAGCCAAAACTACACTGATAACTACAAAGGACAGAAGTAAATTTGTGGAGGTGATAGATCTAATCCATATCCTTAAGGTATTGGAATTTATCTACTTTGTCAAGCAACTGTGTTTGTCAAAATTCACAGAACTATATACTAAAAAGGATAAATCTTACTATGCATAAATTGTAAGTATATATAGTAAAGCCTACTTATAAGAAGGGAAAAAAGGGGGGGAAATTAAAATTCTATCAACATAAGGGTTACTGAGACCCCTACGACCTCCTAAACATGCCGAGAACCTTTCTGCCACAAGGCTGCTATAGTTGCTATTTCCTCTATAAACTGATTCAGATTTCTGTCAAATGTTCCTTCCAGAGAGGCATTTCCTGATAAAATACCATTCAAATCAATATCATATTATCCTACTCTATTGGTTTTCAAAGTACTTATCACTCTAATATTGTTTTCTATTACTGAATATATATTGGTTATTTACTCCTTGAGGAGAAGGATTTTGCATCTTTTGTTGACTGTAATATCCCAATACCATTAAATTAATTAATAAAAACAGAGTATCTTTCATAAGTCACATGAGTGACCTGTGACTACCTGCCTTGAGCCCAACAGAAGAGAAGGAATTTTCATAAGACATAGTTTAGGGCACAGAGGCTATGGCCTAGGAGACACCAGATGTAGGTAAGGGGTAACAAATGTCTCAAGTAGAACAGTATTTTGTGACAAATGCAAATTATATAAATTGAAAGGCAACAAATGTCTCAATTAGAACAATATTTTGTGACAGAAGCAAATTATATAAAATTTCATTTTACATTTGTTATGTATAAAATAAAATTTTATTGGCACACAGACAAATCACTCATTTACAAATTATCTATGGTCACCTTCACCAGAGCTGAATAGTTGCAACAAAAACTGCATGGCCCACAAAGCCTAAAAAGCCTAAAATATTTACAATCTGGGTATTAACAGAAAACATTTGCTGACACCTAAGTTAAACTAATAGGCATTTCATAGAAGAGTAAGCATAGTCTATAAATATATGAAAAATGTGCAATTTTATTAGTGGTAAGAAATACCATATTATATACTCCAGATCTTCAAAAAATTTAATGTCTGACAATTTCAAGTACTGGCATTGAAATGAAATACCAACTCTCTTCTACTGCTGTTGAGAGTACGTGTGCCACTAGAAATAGGTTTTCTGGAAATATTTGCATGAGATATGTCCAAGAGTATATCAGGAGGCATGTGCAAGGCTAGTTACAGTAGCAATGCTCATAAAAATAAAAAAGTAGAAACAATCCAAATATTAACAGAACAATGAATAAATAACCAGTGGTACTTTCATATAATGGAATACTACACAGTAATAAAAATGAATAAATGATGCTTACACACGTCATCAAGGATATATCTCAAAAATATAATAAATGACAAGATGTAAGACAAAAAATACATGAATATGATATCCTTTAAAAGGAGGAGTGCAAGATGAACAATCTATTATTTAAGGATTCATATATATTTGGTATCACTTATAAAAAATACAAAAATCAGGACATAGTTAACTATGCAAGGAGATAGTCAAGTTAGGACATATTGGTGACTCCTGAGGTATGTTCTATTACTTGGCTTGAGAGTTGGGTATAAAAGTATTTGTTTTCCTGTTGTTCTTTAAATTACATTATTTGCTTTTGTGTATATGCTACATTTCAAAATAAAACATTTCCAAATACCACAAAACTGCACCCAGTAAGAAAAGGCCTATCCTTCAACCATTAGCCACCTAGTTCAAAGGACTCTTTTAACATTATAGTGCTATATTACTAAGTAGTCATGAAAATAAACTTAAAAAAAAATTCTATCTGACTTCATACCCTCTGCTGTTGAAATGTGAAATGCATTACAAGGTTCACAGTATTTCAAAAGAGCAAAAATAAAAAAAGCATTTGCCACTCCTTCACCCTGCCCTACAGTTCCCTATAACCTGGTTCTAGCAGTATTACTTGTACTAATTTCATTTACGAGACATTTAATCCTCATTTTACAAATAAACAGATTCCAAGACTAGGCCACACAATTACTGAGGAGCAGGGCTAAAGTAAGAATCCAATTACACCTAACTCCAAAGCCTATGGACATAGTAAGACACACCGCTAATATCCTATGGCTAATTTATATCTATTACCAATCTTAAAGGACAATTATATTTAATAATGCTGATTAACAGAAACAAAGTCATACCTTTTTGTATACAGCATTTATATCAGAATCCAAAACAATTATATTCCTTAGCTTTGCATTTATTTCAGTCACTGAAGGCCTCATAATCATCTCAGAATCAAGCCCTAAAGGAATAAAACGAATGATTAAATTCCTTTTTCTTCATTTAATAGTTCTGGAATTTACTTTTTCTCAAATCTTATTACCTTCAATCTTAATTTCTGAAATGTTACGTTTCTGATCTTGAATAAATATCCGTAAACACGATAACTCTGCTAAAATTTGCAAAGTAATAGTATCTTCATTCTTGGATAGTTTTAAAGCTGCAAAAAGAAAATCATACTGTAAAACATAAGAAAAAACTTTTAGTAGTTACCTTAATACGTTTATAACAAACTGAAGTATCACAATGAATAATGATACTACTGGAGGAAAACCTGATTTGCAATTTAACTGAAAGCAAGCAATATATATTACCTACTAAATTAGGAATTTTAAAAACAATCAAATCCAATGAAAACAAAGCCAGACAAAAGCAAACAAAGAGACAAAACAAAAACAGTTCCTAGATGAAATAATA